AATACTCACAGATAAACTGTGAGCAGATAAGAACATTAGCAGGAGTATTGTAATAACCTGCAGTTTCATAGGAGTTTATATTTAAAGAAGATGAATAAATGAGCAAATTAAGTCAGTTTGGACTTGCAGAAGATATTAAAAATAAATTTAAGGAACCGCAGAAAGAGGGGGGAGGAAGCCAAGTTTTGAAATGTCAAAATGATTGTAAAATTAGTGAAATGTATAAACTTGAAAAGTATAAGTATATTTTTAAAAAAAGAGAGTGGAGGGTACCTGCTGATGCTTTCCCTTCCCACACCTGTTTCTCTCTCCCTTCCCACTCGAGAGCTGGGCTCGTAATTGTTTTTAATGATGCGCCTGATGTAGCTGCCCCTGTGATTAAACACTTTAATGTGGTCTTGTTCAGGCAGCGCATAAAGGTTTGAGAGGAGCTCTCTGGCCTTCCACGAACTGCTTATCTCTGGTCTTCCTGGAGGCTGGAAGGGAGGAAGGCAAGGTCCGCATTTGAATTTGAATCTAGCGGATGACTCACTGTCTCTGCACCAGGAGCACCAGCAATTCCTGGAGTGCCTGTCGCTGTTTCCGAAGGGCCCTATCCTGCGCTGCCTCCCTCTCCACTGGGGCGGCTTGTTATGGCAGCCTCATGGGCACTCTGCGCTCAGCAAACAACCCCACAACCGAGGGTTTCACGTACCGGTTAAGCAGGAAGATGGTCTGCATCAGGTCTGGTCCTAACGTTAACAAGGTTTAGGCCTGGGCAATCTATCAATGAGTGAGAGCAGTGAGAGATTTTACTTTCTTGGGCTCCATGATCACTGCAGATGGTGACAGCAGTCACGAAATTAAAAGACGCCTGCTTCTTGGGAGAAAAGCAATGACAAACCTAGACAGCATCTTAAAAAGCAGAGACTTCACCTTGCCAACAAAGGTCCGTATAGTTAAAGCCATGGTTTTCCCAGTAGTGATGTATGGAAGTGAGAGCTGGACCATAAAGAAGGCTGATTGCTGAAGAATTGATACTTTTGAATTATGGTGCTGGAGGAGACTCTTGAGAGTCCCATGGACTGCAAGAAGATCAAATCTATCCCTTCTTAAGGAAATCAGCCCTGAGTGCTCACTGGAAGGACAGATCCTGAAGCTGAGGCTCCAATACTTTGGCCACCTCATGAGAAGAGAAGACTCCCCGGAAAAGACCCTGATGTTGGGAAAGATGGAGGGCGCAAGGAGATGGGACGATAGAGGACAAGATGGTGGGACAGTGTTCTCGAAGCTACCAGCATGAGTTTGACCAAACTGCGGGAGGCAGTGGAAGACAGGAGTGCCTGGCGTGCTCTGGTCCAGGGGGTCACAAAGAGTCTAAACGACTAAACAACAACAACAATCTATCAATATATCATCCAAAACTGGTTTGAAGTGTGTATCACGATAACCCGCCTCATAATTTTGAACCTGCCAATGTATTGCGAATCGTGGCGTACGTGTCTGCTATGAAAAAATCATGATGTGCCAAAATGTTTAAAACAAAAAATGAATGTTGAAAATGCAAGGAAAAGGAAGGTACTTTTTACCATATGTGGTGGACATGTAAAGAGGTAAAAGCATTCTGGGAAATGATATATAATGAGTTAAAGAAAATGTTTAAAAACACTGTTGTTTTAAAAAAACCAGCAGCTTTTTTATTGGGTACAGTGGGTAGAGAGACACCGAGACAAGATAAAAAATTCTTCTTCTATGCAACAAGTGCAGCAAGAATTTTGTTAGCCCAAAAATGGAAACACCAGGAGTTACCAACAAAAGAAGAGTGGCAGATGAAAATGATGGACTTTGCAGAACTGGCAAAACTGGGGGAAAGAATCCGGAATCAGCGAGACCAAGCATTCCGAAAGGACTGGAACAAATTTATATTATATGTGAAATACAACTGTAAGCAATTAACATCCTTAGCAGGGTTATCTGCAGATCTGTAAGGTGAAATTGCTACCTATTCAGGTTGAGTAATATAATATTTTAGGTAATGCTATAACAAGGCTAGGAAATGAAGCGAAATGTAAAGATGTAAAGTTTAATTTTGTAAACCATCAGATGGGAGGGAGGGATGTCATTGGGCTCAGTCGAGCCAAACAGAGAAAACAAGAGGGTTACGATGTTACGTAATGTGATTATATGTAAATCCAATAAAAATCGTTTAGAAAAAAAAGAAAATGCGTCTCTCGATTCCGGCAGCCCCTGTTAGCTCAGCCGGCTCAGCTCTCCCTACGTCCTGCAGCGGGGCAGAGAATGGCAAGAGCAGGCACCAGCGAAAATCACAATGTGGAGAGAACTGTGCAGCCAACGAATGACTCTACATAGCTCCATCCTTATTTCAGACGTTGCCATAGATCAATATATCACAATGCTTAGCTGCCGATATATCATGATGCTGGAAACCGCCTATCGCCCAGCCTTGGTGAGGTTGATGCTTCTGGTGGCAGCCGATGCCACTGGAGAAGAAGACTTCTACATGCAGCACATAGTTGGAACTGCGTAACTCTCTCCTGCAGGAGGCAGTGAGGACTCTGCCATTGTTATGTACTGAGTTGAATAGGATCCAAAATGCAGCAGTCTGATTGGTCCTAGAACAATAAGATTCAGAATGCAGCAGTCTGATTGGTCCGCAGGAGCCACCCAATCCAGCTCCAGGTGGAAGTGAATCCGCAACCTGATTGGCCTACAGGAGAATCCCAGAATTAGCCAATCATGTGGGGCCCATTGTGTAAATAATGTATATAAAGCAGACACTTTGGGGGAACTTCCATTCCTCCTCACCACTATGAGCTGAATAAAGAGCATGAAATCCACACTCGACTCCGAGTATATTTCAGCCATCCTTTCTCTCTCTGCTCCTCCCTGTTCATACCTCTTCTGGTTCTGGGAAACCAGCAGGGATGGGAGCTGGTCGCAGCAAGAGTGGGGGAAAGCCTGACTTCCTCACCAGCCGGATTCCTTGCTGCCTCTCTGCCCGCCTCTTCTCCAGCCTCCCCTTCTGCCTCTGATTCTGGACTGCTCTCTGCCAGAGACTCTCCCAGCTCACTAAACCCTGTTGCCTCTTCAGCTTCTCCTCCTTCCTGTCTGCTCCCTCTTCTCCCTCTGACCACTCATGACCCCTGGCTCTGAGCGAAGCTGAGGTTTCTAGAAAGAGTGTTGAAATGTAGGCATTGAAAGTCTTCAGACCGTTGAGTAATAAACAGTGTTTATCCTTCCAGGCATGGAGCGTAAGTCTCTTGGTGGCCATAAAGGCTTGCAAAACCTGGATAAAGCTGCTTTGGAGCCCTGGAGGGCAGCGGGTTGAGGAAGGCTGATCTTCGCCAAGTTTACAAGAAACCTTTCCCCTCCATTGCCGATTCCTGTGATCCCATGGGGTTGAGATGGATGACCCTTTGGGTCCCTTCTACAATTTTGTGGATCTAAGAGCACACAGGCCCCTTTTGACTGCTGGCGGGTAACTGAGCGATTAGGGCCAGACGGCTATAAAGCGGGAATTGAACAAAGCCTGCCTGGTTTTCCGCCACAAGCCTTGTAAATCTTTTTTTTTTAATGCTTCGTAAGATGGATCAGCCTGTGAAAACTAGACATGGTCCAGCACAGCAGTAGGGAAGATCATCCAAATTCTCCCGTAAGCTCCTCTCGGAGCCATCTGTCAGCCAAAGAAATGCTCAGCTTAGGTTGCCTTTGTTAGTCTGCCCTCAAAGCTTCAAAGCTGTTGTTTTTGTCGTTTTAATTTGAAGTTGATCAAGGAAGAGTTTACAGAGAGCAGAGATCACCCCTGCCCAATTTTTATTAGCAAAGCCCTCCATACTCTGGGAGTAACTTGCCAGCAAATGTCAGTGGCAGAGCGCAGGCTGGGCGTACAAGAGACCCCAAATCCAACCCTCGGAATCTCCGGCTGAGAACTGGAGGTTTGGGTAAACAGTGGAACAGTTTGTCTGCAGGCAGAGGGTCCCAGGTTCAGACCCCAGTAGGACTGGGTGATATATCGATATATCGTCAGAAACAGGTTTGAAGTCTATACAGTGGTGCCTCGCAAGACGAAATTAATTCGTTCCGCCGGTTTTTTCTTCTTGCGAGTTTTTCGTCTTGCGAAAATCAATCAATCAATGCATTCCTATGGAAACCGACTTCAGACCAGGTCCGGGGACAGTCTGTCCCCCGACCTCTTCTGAAGGCTGGGGGGGGGGAACAAGGGCTTTTCTTCCCACCCCCAGCATTTTAAAAAACCCCGGGACAGCGGAGGACTTCTCTGCTGTCCCGTGGCGATTTAAAAGCCCCCGGGAAGGCAGGCAGGGGGGAGCAAAGACTTTTGCCCCCCGCCGGCCTTCACATTTCCAAATTCTGGCTACGAGTATTCTTGCAGCCGTGATTGAGTACATAAACAGTGATCTTGTGTTTTGCTTTATTTCTGTTGCTAATATTCCTAGAAGGAAAATCTCTGGTCCTTTTTTTTGATGTTAATTTTAAATAATTTTTTTAATTCATCATATATGTTATTCCAAAACTCACTTATAACCATACAAGTCCACCACTATTTAGCGCCTTTCATCATGAGACCACAAAGCAGTTTACAACATAAAAACAAATGATATTAAAAATCACACACACACACACACACACCCCACTTTAAAAGGCCCTATGTGTATTAACGGCTGAAGGCCTGGTTAAAGGGGAATGTTTTCTCCTGGTGTCTGAAAATATATAGTAAAGGTGCCAGGCGAGTCTCTCTGGGGAGAGCATTCTACGAGCGGGGAGCCACCACAGAAAAGGCCCCTCCTCGTGTTTTCACTAGATGCGATCCTGCCGTCATGCCTCTTGCAGCCCATCTGCTCTGCTCACATTTTAAGTGGCTGATGGCGCTTGCGCGGCTGTGTGTGCATGCCCACATCGGTTGATAACATAGTGAGAAAACTTATTGTTGAATCAGCTGGGTGCTGAAAGCCGCCTTGTGCCTTTGTGTCTCCTCTCTGCAGCTCACCGTCTACCTGGGCAAGAGGGACTTCGTGGACCACATAGATGTCGTCGATCCAGTGGGTAAGTGAGCTCTGGGCTGAGTTTGGCACCCGCTGAAGTGCCACAGAGAGGAACGCCCTCAGGCGCTGCTCTCTTGAGACATCCATCTTGTGGGCCCGGGAGATGGTCCTACAAAGCTGTGATGCAGCTGTCTTGCCGAAGCGAAAAAGGATTTCTTCATTGCAGGGAGTTTGGCCAGATGACCCTCGCGGTCCCTTCCAGCTCTGCAATTCTGTGATGCTATTGTTCTATGGGTAAGGGACGCGGGTGGCGCTGTGGGTTAAACCACAGGGCCTAGGACTTGCCGATCAGAAGCTCGGCGGTTCGAATCCCCGCGACCAGGTGAGCTCCCGTTGCTCAGTCCCAGCTCCTGCCCACCTAGCAGTTTGAAAGTACACAGTGCAAGTAGATAAATAGATACCGCTCTGGCGGGAAGCTAAACGGCATTTCCGTGCGCTGCTCTGGTTCGCCAGAAGCGGCTGAGTCATGCTGGCCACATGACCCAGAAGGTGTACGCCGGCTCCCTCGGCCAGTAAAGCGAGATGAGCGCCGCAACCCCAGAGTCGTCCGTGACTGGACCTAATGGTCAGGGGTCCCTTTACCTTTTATTGTTCTATGGTGTGAATGCTCAAATGGGAGATTACCTGGAAGGAGGGGGAAAGCAACAACAACCTCAAGCGCTGCTTCTTTAAAAAGTAACCGTTCTTCTTTACCTTCATATGTGATGTCATTTCACGGCATCGCAGTGAAGGCAGTGAAGGTCCTGTGTGAGTGTCTGGAGGCGGTTGGAGGATGGATGGCGGCTAACAGGTTGAGGATGAATCCTGACAAGACAGAAGTACTCTTTTGGGGGGACAGGGGGCGGGCGGGTGTGGAGGACTCCCTGGTCCTGAATGGGGCAACTGTGCCCCTGAAGGACCAGGTGCACAGCCTGGGAGTCATTTTGGACTCACAGCTGTCCATGGAGGTGCAGGTCAATTCTGTGTCCAGGGCAGCTGTTTATCAGCTCCATCTGGTACACAGGCTGAGACCCTTCCTGCCTGCAGACTGTCTCACCAGAGTGGTACATGCTGTAGTTAGCTCTTGCTTGGACTACTGCAATGCGCTCCATGTGGGGCTACCTTTGAAGGTGACCCGGAAACTGCAATTAATCCAGAATGCGGCAGCTAGACTGGTGACTGGCCGCCAAGACCACATAACACCAGTCTTGAAAGACCTACACTGGCTCCCAGTACGTTTCTGAGCAGAATTCAAAGTGTTGGTGCTGACCTTTAAAACCCTAAACAGCCTTGGCCCAGTATACCTGAAGGAGCATCTCCACTCCCATTGTTCAGCCCGGACACTGAGGTCCAACACTGAGGGCCTTCTGGCAGTTCCCTCCCTTTGAGAAGTCAGGTTACAGGGAACCAGGCAGAGGGCCTTCTTGGTAGTGGCTCCTGTCCTGTGGAACGCCCTCCCAGCAGATGTCAAGGCAATAAACAACTATTTTACTTTTAAAAGACACCTGAAGGCTGCCCTGTTTAGGGAAGTTTTTAATGTCTGATGCTGTATTGTTTTTAATATTCTGTTGGAAGCCGCCCAGAGTGGCTGGGGAAACCCAGCCAGATGGGCGGGGTATAAATAGTAATAATTTATTATTATTATTATTATTATTATTATTATTATTATTATTATTATTATTATTAGCTCAGCAAGGCAGTGGGGATTCCCAGGCTGCCCCTGTGGGGCTGGGACCTGGGACCGGCTGGGGTGAAAACGTTTCATGTCGTCTGAGGAAGCACGTGTTGATGATGGCACTCATCTCCCTGTTTCTGGGAAGATCACAAATCTTACTCATGGTCTGGGGCATTCCAGGCTTCTGCTGTGAGTCACGCTTAGGCAGCAGATGAGAAACCCACTCTGGCCAAAGGGGTGAATGAAATAATTCAGACAAAATGCAGTCTGGTTGTATTCAGGCACAGCTCTATCTATCACACTGCTTCTCAGAGTTCTTAGGATGGAAAGATATAGGGAGAGAAGTGGAGTCAAATATTGCTGGGCTTAAGCCTGGAGCAGGTGGAGAGGCCCTCCAGTCCCCTCTCTCCCACTCTCATAGAAATCATGAAATTGTTGAACTGGAAGGGATCTAGTCCAGGGATCGCAACTGAAGAATTCCTGATAGATGAGCATCCAACCTCTGCTTAAAAACCTCCAAGGAAGGGGAGCCCACAACCTCTGGAGGGAGACTGTTCCACCGTTGAACAGCTCTTACTGCCAGAAAGTTCCTCCTGGTGTTTAGTCAAAATCTCCTTTCTCCTCATTTGAATCCATTGTTCTGTGTTCTCGCCTCTCCTATGCAACCTGATGGAACGGCTGGTTGCCTCACACGTTTAGCTGAATCGGATCCTTGTGTTTGTGTGTCTCAGTGGAGAATTCCTTGCAGGAAATTTTAGCTTGCCCTGTTTATCATCCAAATATAAACCTCTAGGTAGGAGGCAAGATGATGCCACGGGCAGAACCCCCAAATGCTCATTTTCCTCTGCCGTGGCAGTTCAGACAGACCCAGATTTTAAAGCTGATTGGCACCAATTAGCTCCAAAAGTGCCACAGCCCGTACTGGAGTCCGTAGTCCTGTTGCGCGTGCTGCAACAATGCCAACAGTTCCTCGTTCTGCGGCTTTGTGTGTGTGGTGCTTTCTGTTTCCTCGGGTTATTTACTAAGGCCAGCGGGCTGCACGGAGCCTCCATCACCTCTGATCCGGAGGATTCCTGTTGCGGATGTTGGGTGTTTTGCTTTGTTCTCTGCCCCCCACGCCACCACCCACTATTTAATTACCGCCCTTCCTCTGGTGGCGCATTGAACCGGCAGCAAAGGCTTTTTCCTGTCTGCTAATTTCTCCACCCTGGAAATCTGCAAAGCCTGACTCATCTCTGCAGCACACTTCCTTTGCTCCGACGGGAGCTGATCCTGCCAATTTGATGTTTCCCTGCAGCTCTCAGTTCTGCCCTGTCTTCACAGAACCGTAGAGTTGGAAGGGACCCTTAGGGTCATCCAGTCCAGCCCCTGGCAATGTGGGAATTGGCAGCTGTCCCATACGGGGATTGAACCAGCAACCTTGCCGTTATCAACACCACGCTCTAACCAGCTGAGCTATCCTCCCCATTTAAGAAATTAATTGGCTTCAGCATTTAGAAGGGGGGAAAGGCTCAAACTTCTCCATCTCATCTGTGCTTCAGAACTTTGAGGTTTCCATATCAGGGGCAAATCCTGACACCGTTGCATATGGACAGCTTTAGTTACTGCCACAAACCACCCCATCTATGAGTGGCGAAAGGTTCCAGGCACTTACCTGGGTTCCTTGGAAGGTCAGCAGAGACTCTGGCACCTTTAGGATATCTGGTTTTATTTGCACACATATAAACCTGAGCATGATAGGGACGTGGGTGGCGCTGTGGGTTAAACGGTGTTTCCGTGCGCTGCTCTGGTTCGCCAGAAGCGGCTTAGTCATGCTGGCCACATGACCCGGAAGCTGTACACTGGCTCCCTCGGCCAGTAAAGCGAGATGAGCGCCGCAACCCCAGAGTAGTCTGCGACTGGACCTAATGGTCAGGGGTCCCTTTACCTTTACATTAAACCTGAGCATAAGCCACAGGGGCTCACAGCATTGACACCCAAAGAGATCTTGCATCTCCATTGGTCTCAGCTGTGGATCCAGCCCAGAGCAAGCAGGTCCCAGTGTCTCCAGCTGCAAGCTGGCTTCCAGCTCAGCTCAAGCACAACACTCTGGCTTTTCCTACCCAGCAGATAGGTGAGGGGGCTGGAGGAAAAGCCCAGCCATTCGCCTGAAGGGTACTCTCACTCTTGCAACCCAGCTTATTGTTTGGGGATGCTGTTGAGGACACTGAAGTGGCCAGCGAAGGCCATTGTCCTGCAAATAAACATGTCTGAGCAGCACAGCAACACCCTCTGTTAGATTCCAACCTTCCCTGGGCACAGGGCCCCAAACATTGGAAGGGACTCCAGGCATCATCCAGACTGACCCCACCCCCAACGCAAGACATGATCGAATTAAAAAATATAAATATAAATGTCCAGTAGCACCTTAGAGACCAACTAAGTTTGTTCTGGGTATAAGCTTTTGTGTTCATGCAGACTTCTTCGGATACACTGAAACAGAAGTCACCAGACCCTATATATCGTGGGAGGGTGGGGTGGAGTTTTTCTCAGAAGGGTATTTGGAGATGGGTGATTGACTCAATGGGTATGGTAAACCTGTGGACAACTGTTAATGCCTGCAATTAGTCCTACAAGAAAAGCAAGGGATAGTATGCAGATGACCAAAAATAGCTTTAGCATGTGTAGTGAGACAAGAATCCAATATCTCTGTTAAGACCAGGTCTCGCCATAGTTTTCAGTTTAGTGATAAGTAATTCAGCAACTTCTCTTTCAAGTCTGTTTCTGAAATTCTTTTGTTATAAGACAACTACTTTGAGATCTTGTATAGAATGTCCTGGGAGATTGAAGTGTTCTCCTACTGGCTTCTCTGTCCTGTGATTCCTGATGTCAGATTTATGTCCATTTACCCTTTTGCCGATCGAAAGGTCGGCGGTTCAAATCCCCGCGGCGGGGTGCGCTCCCGTTGTTCGGTCCCAGCGCCTGCCAACCTAGCAGTTCGAAAGCACCCCCGGGTGCAAGTAGATAAATAGGGACCGCTTACTGGCGGGAAGGTAAACGGCGTTTCCGTGTGCGGCTCTGTCTCGCCAGAGCAGTGATGTCACGCTGGCCACGTGACCCGGAAGTGTCTCCGGACAGCGCTGGCCCCCGGCCTCTTGAGTGAGATGGGCGCACAACCCTAGAGTCTGTCAAGACTGGCCCGTACGGGCAGGGGTACCTTTACCTTTACCTTTTACCCTTTGGCGTAGGGTTTGGCCTGTTTCTCCAATATAGAGAGCTGAAGGACACTGCTGGCTTTTGATGGCATACAGAATGTTAGAAGATGAGCAATTAAATAGGCCTGAGATGGCATGTTTGATGTTGTTGGGTCCAGTGATGGTGTTGTCCGGGTGTATGTGGCAGCAAAGTTGGCATCTGGGTTTATTGCAGGCTCTGGTATCAGTTATGGGTAGGTAGCCGTGTTGGTCTGCCGTCGTCGAAACAAAAAATAAATTTTTAAAAATTCCTTCCAGTAGCACCTTAGAGACCAACTAAGTTTGTTATTGGTATGAGCTTTCATGTGCATGCACACTTCTGCAGATACTGGTTCTCTGGTACCAGTGTCCATGTTAAGTCTGGTTGCTGTATTATCGTGGGTGACTTGTTTCAGTGTATCTGAAGAAGTTGGTCTCTAAGGTGCTACTGAACATTTTTATTTATTTTCTATTTCGACTGTGTCAGACCAACACGGCTACCCACCTGAATCCAAAACATGATGTTCTTGTATGCACTTGAAACCAGATATCGCCCAGCCCTTTCCATCCCCACATCCCGGGTTCTGAGCCTTCGTCCCTTGGGGGTTCCCCAGCTCAATATTCCCACTGTTCCTCCACATCGAACCAAGACGTGTCGCCTGCCATGTTTCCGTGGCAGAGCTGGGAAGCTATACTAACCCATGCAGAGCAGAAGTACCAATGTTGCATTGCCCTCATACCTGCCTCTCGTTCCTTTTGCAGATGGCGTCGTGCTGGTCGATCCAGAATACTTAAAAGAAAGGAAAGGTAACTCCGGTGTTTATGTGTGGGGGGTACCTCAGGCTTTGGGGCTGGGTGTGGCCCTCCAGACCTCTCTGTCTGGCTCTTGGGAACCTCCCCAGGTCAGGACCCCTTCCCAGGCCCTGCCTTCTCTCCTCGAGCCACACCCCTCACGGTCCTTGCCCCACAACCTCCGAAAAGGCTTTTGACTGGCTAGAATGGGCCCTTGAATGGTGAGAGTGCCTCTTTGCTTGTCTGGATGGAAAGGTGGGCGAGGGGAGGGGTAGAAAACTCTGACCTGCGCCTGGAATGTAGCCTATCCTGCAAAGGTGAGTTTTGCACCAGTTGCCCGCTTTATTATCTTATTATTTACTACTTGCCCAATTTTCCTCCAAGGAGCTCAGTGTGGTGTACGTGGTTCTCGTGTTCCTCACAACAGCCCTGCGAGGTTGATTAGCCCGCGTGACTGGCCCAAGATCACCTCGTGAGCATCATGGCCAAGTTGGGAGTTGAACCCCCATCTCCCAGGTCCTAGTCCAGACCTTTAACCACTACACTACCTGACTTTTGCCTCTGGCTTTGCACACGCCTGGCAAAGCGACCTCCGGAAAGCTTCCCTCTGCTGTCTTGTACTTGCAAAGGCTTTCTTGTTCATTTCTTGTATACATGGTGCTCCTCCCATCCTCACAACAACCCTGCGATGTAGGGCAGGCTGAGAGGCAGCGCCCAAGGTCACACCCAGTGTGCTCCGTGGCCAAATGGGAATTCAAACCCTGGCACTCTAACTACTAGACCAGGGCCAGGGCCTTCTCAGTGATGGCTTCGACCTGGTGGAATGCTCTGTCCCAGGAGACCAGGGCCCTGCAGGATTTAACCTCCTCCCGCAGGGCCTGTAAGACAGAGCTATTCCGCCTGGCTTTCAATTTGAACGTCGCCTGATCTTTTATTCCCCTTCCTTCCCTCCCCCTCCCCATTTTATGAAGATTACCCGCTCTGGGATCCCACAGCTAATTCTCCCCTGGTCTCCTCGCTGGCCCAAATAGGACTAATTTAGCCAGCTAGCCCTGGGGATCATCTAATGTTTATTGGATGGATTTCCCCCCTGAATTGATTTTGAATTCTGAATTTATTGACATTCACATTTTATACTGTATTTTATGCTGCTTTTTGTTGCATCAATTAAGTGTGTTAAATTTATTGTGAGCCCGGTTTTTTGAATTGGGAAGGGTGGGGTATAAATAAATTATCATTATTATTATTATTATTATTATTATTATTACACCACACTGCCTCTTGGCGATGTCTGATGACTCCAAGAGCTGAGCTGTTGGCGGCTGCCCCATTTCGCATTCTGCGGTTGTGCTGCGTCACTCGAAAGCCGCCTTGGGGTTCAGAGGTCAGTGCGGAAACACGATGAGTCCGACACAACCCCTGGGCGCAAGTGGGAAACGGGGGCCACTTCCGGCCCTCCGTATTGTCCTCTGTGCACACATGCCTTCCTCTCTGCTCCGCTTGCAGTTTTCGTGACCCTCACGTGTGCCTTCCGCTACGGCCGCGAGGACCTGGACGTCCTGGGCCTGACCTTCCGCAAGGACCTCTTTGTCGCCAACATCCAAGCCTTCCCTCCGGTCACTGAGGAGAAGAAGCCTCTGACGCGGCTCCAGGAACGGCTGATTAAGAAGCTCGGTGAGCAGGCCTACCCTTTTACCTTCGAGGTACGGATCCTTCTTTCTCCCCCCTACCTTTAGCTCTCTCCCCCCCAGCCCTCCTTCGCCAGTCGCCCCACCCCAGGCGACGTTTGCACCTCGCCGACAAAAAATTCTCACAATTGGGCAGCTGCTCCAGCTTCACAGCAGGTGATCCGGTTACTCTTCCCGAAATTGCCCACGTGAGAAGGTTTCTGGGCACCCAAAGGCCACGCTTCCTGCTGGGGAGGACGGGTAAAAGGGGGTTGGGCTAGATGACCCCTGGGACCCCTTCCAACTCGACAGTTCTAGGATTCTGTGAAAAGGGCACCCTTCTGTATGCAGTGCATTGTTATCCTGTGGAACTCTCTGCCACTGGAGGCAGCGAAAAGCATTTGGCAGGTGGCTGGCGGGAAAGCCAAGGGACCCCCCGGATTTTAGCCCTGATCCAGGGTTTCTCACATTTCGGAGCTGTGTCATTTCTTGCTTTTGACTACTTACGCTATGCTGCAATGGTGTATTTTTTTCATGATGCTTTGAACTATATAGAAAGGCAGCATATGAATAAAAATATGTATGTAGAGTTAAACTATGGAACTCTCTGCCACTGGAAGGAGTGATGGCCAGACACCTAGGGGACTTTAAAAGAGGCTTGGACAAATTCATGGAGGAGAACATCTTTTGATGGCTACTAGCCAGGGTGGCTATGGTTTGGCTCCACGTCGGAGACAGCAATGGTTCTGAATGCCAGTGGCTGGAAACCATAGAAGAGGAGAGGGCTCTTGAGTTCGAATCCTGCTTGTGGGTTTCGCTTTGAGCCACCTGGTTGGCTGCTATGAGAACAGGCTGCTCGACTAGATGGACCCTTAATGAAACGTTAATACAAACGCAGACTTTGGCATTGTTGGTCAGCCTGGTGACGCTGTCCCTTACGTGGGACGTTTTCCCTGTTCCAGATCCTTCCCAACCTTCCCTGCTCCGTGACGTTGCAGCCGGGACCCGAAGACACAGGAAAGGTAAAAAAAAGAAGTAAAATGAAATAAAGAGGGGGGGGAAGGGTACTGACAACAGCCCTGATGAACAGGGGCAGTTTCAAGACATTGTAATGCTCCAGCGTGGAAGGCACAGGCCCCTCCTTTTCTTCATACTGCCTTTCCCCAACCTGGTGCCCTCCGGGTGTGTTGGGCTTCAGCTCCCATCAGCCTCAGCAAACTTGGTCGACAAACAGGGATCATGGGAGTTGTAGTCCAATGCACCGGGTTGGGGGAAGCTGCCTTAATGCATCATTTTGGGAGTTCGCTCCAGCAGGCTTTTGTTTCTTTCGGTGTGTTCCTTTAAGAAGACCACAGTTGACAACAGCGCCATCTGCTGGCCATTAATTTCAGTGCCATGCAATGTACTTCAGTCCCCTTAAGGGTTGTACAGTTCATCAATACATGTCTTTCGGCGCCAGGTGAAAATATTCCTCTTTACACAGGCTTTCGGGCATTAAAAATAATCTATGACCTATTAAATGTAGGGGGCATGTTATTATTATTTTATTATGTTGTGTATGTCTTTAATGTTGTACACTGCCCTGTGAACTTTGGACAAAGGGTGGAATAATCATCATGATTAATAATAATAATTAGAATAATAGTGTGTTGGCTCCAAGGACCATCAAGGCATTTTTCTTTTTGAGGCCTTTTCCTAAGGCCAACAGGTCAAGATAAGGTAAGGGGAAGCAGAACTTCCAACTGGTTTAGGATTTATTACTTATTTGTTTCATACGACTTATACACCGCTTGGTTATAGGAAGAATCCTCAAAGCTGTTTACAAAAAGATGAAGTGGTAAAACCGAGAAGAATTTAAAACCATACTTTTTTAAAAAGTACAACAATTTAAAATGCCGAAGCAGATTGAATTCACATCAAGAGTCTCAGCATCTGGGTGGCTGTTGTTGTTTAGTCGTGCCCGACTCTTCGTGACCCCCTGGACCAGAGCACGCCAGGCACTCCTGTCTTCCACTGCCTCCTGCAGTTTGGTCAGACTCATGCTGGTAGCTTCGAGAACACTGTCCCACCATCTCGTCCTCTGTCATCCCCTTCTCCTTGTGCCCTCCATTTTTCCCAGCATCAGGGTCTTTTCCAGGGAGTCTTCTCTTCTCCTGAGGTGGCCAAAGTCTTGGAGCCTCAGCTTCAGGATCTGTCCTTCCAGTGAGCACTCAGGGCTGAATTCCTTCAGAATGGAGAGGTTTGATCTTCTTGCAGTCCATGGGACTCTCAAGAGTCTCCTCCAGCACCAGAATTCAAAAGCATCTGTGTAGAAAAGAATTTTTTGAGCAGGCACTGAAAAGAGTACATCAATAAGCAGGGAGTTCCAAAGTGAAGATGAGCAGAGGTGCTCCTCTTGGTTTCTCCACTGCCCTCAGAAGTGTGGCAAAAGGTGGCCTGGGACAGGGCTTTCTCTATGGTGGCCCCCAAATTGTGGAACTCCCTCCCCACCAAGGCTCACCTGGCACCTTCCTTGCGAAGCTTCTGCCCTTTTATTTCGTGTGGCCCGACTCCTCGCAACCTGCCAAGGATGCTTTAGCTGCTCTTTCTGCATTATGGGGTGAGGGGGTTGGACTAGATGTCCTTTGGGTCCCCTTCCACTTCAATGATTATTTGGCTTAATCTGTTCTTGCTTTTGTTCCAAACTGCTTCTATCTGCCATCTTTCTTGACGCCTCTTCTGCTTCCTTCTCTTCCCTCCTAGGCTTGCGGTGTTGACTATGAAGTGAAAGCTTTCTGTGCAGAGAGTCTGGAGGAGAAGATCCACAAAAGGTATGTGCAGTGGCTTTCCATGTTTTGCAAAGGTAAAGGGACCCCTGACCATTAGGTCCAGTCGCGGACGACTCTGGGGTTGCAGCGCTCATCTCGCTTTACTGGCCGAGGGAGCCGGCATACAGCTTCCGGGTCATGTGGCCAGAATGACTGAGCCGCTTCTGGCGAACCAGAGCAGCGCACGGAAACAGAGTTTACCTTCCCGCTGGAGTGGTACCTATTTATCTACTTGCACTTTGACATGCTTTCGAACTGCCAAGTGGGCAGGAGCAGGGACAGAGTAACGGGAGCTCACCCCATTGCAGGGATTCGAACCACCAGCCTTCTGATCGGCAAGCCCTAGGCTCTGTGGTACCTTGGTTCTCAAACTTAATCCATTCCGGAAGTCCATTCCAAAACCAAAGCATTCCAAAACCAAGGCGCGCTTTCCCTTAGAAAGTCATGCAAAATGGATTAATCCATTCCAGACTTTTAAAAACAACCCCCAAAACAGCAATTTAACATGACTTTTACTATCTAATGAGACCATTGATCCATAAAATGAAAGCAATAAACAATGTACTGTACTATAAAATAAAGAAGACCGTATTGTAGATGACAAAAATATAAATTATTTTTTTCCCTTACCTGCACTGATAATAGTCATTGTCTGAATGGGGGGGGGGCTTTTATCCATTTCTGCAGTCATGCAATTAATCAATCAGTAGCTGAACTGGGTTCCACACAGTCACAGATCAACTAAAAAAGCCTCAGAAACAAAAATGCAAAATAAATAGCAAAAACAAAAGTGCCAAACTTAATCCGTTCCGGAAGTCCGTTTGACTTCCGAAATGTTCGAAAACCAAGGCGCAGCTTCTGACTGGTGCAGGCGCTCCAGAAACAATAGCTGACATCCGCATCGGACATTCAGCATCCGAAAAATGTTCGAAAACTGGAACGCTCACTTCTGGGTTTCTGGCGTTTGGGAACCAAGGTATTTGAGTACCAAGGTACCACTGTATTGCTATTTCCCTTCTGCAATTCCCCCTTGCTCTTAACATTTTAAAACTTAAGTAAAAAATAGTTATTGTTTAGTCGTGTTCGACTCTCCGTAACCCCATGAACCAGAGCATGCCTTGGAAACTCTCACTTTCTTCTCAAAGCTTCTCCTTTTTTTACGTCCATGGAGTTTTCTCGGCAAAATACCGGAGTGGTTTGCCAGTTCCTTCTCCAGGTGGATCACATTTAGTCTAAACTCTCGGCTATGACCTGTCCGTCTTGGGTGGCCCTGCACGGCATAGCTCACAGCTTCTTGGGTTATTCAAGCCCCTTCGCCACGACAAGGCAGGGATCCACGAAGGGGAAGTAAAAATTACGCGGGGACAAAACAGCAGCTCGCAGTTCCTTCTGGCCTGGGGTGGGCGGTTGTGGCATTTGAGCCATCGCGAAGCTGTTCCGTTCTGCAGCGCGGATGCCTCTGTAATAAACGAAAATCCGCCCTTATTCCCTTATGGGGGACACAGGAGCCCTTATAGAGTCCTTTGTAGGTTCTCCATCAGGCGGAGAAAATAACAGAGGCCAAGCAGAGAATATTGAGAAGCAAAACAGCTCGTAAGCCTGATCTTTACTGAACTGTTGCAACAGGGTGCTCCCCTCACACGCAGGAAAGGAGGAGGAGCACCCTGAACAAAGGTGTGTCCGCCCTTATATAGACATTTTAAATTGCCCGCCCTGGAGTCCAAGATCATCCCCAGATACCGTATTTTTCGCCCTATAGGACGCACTTTTCCCCCTCCAAAAATGAAGGGGAAATGTGTGTGCGTCCTATGGGGCGAATGCAGGCTCCTTCGCTTCAGCGATAGCAACGCGAAGTCTAGGAAGCCTGCGCTCCGGAGGCTTCACGTTGCTTTCGCTGAAGCCAGGAAAGTCTGCTCTTTGAGGCTGGCGGTGGGGGAAAGCAGCGCTTCCCCCCACCGCCAGCCCCACAGGCTCGGGGGGCAGCGGGAAGGCGCACGCCGCCTTTGCGCTGCTCTCCGACCTGGTTTGGAGGCTGGCGGTGGGGGAAAGCAGCGCTTCCCCCCACCAACAGCCCCATAAGCTGGGTCAAAAAGCCCGCAGGAGCCGCGCAGCCTTTAAAGAGCGCGCCACTCTTGGGGGCTTTTCCCCAAGGAGGGAGAAGGGACTGACTGGCCGTTTCAGTCCCTTCTCCCTCCTGGTCGAAAAGCCGGCAGGAGTCGCGCGCGGCTCCTGTGGGCTTTCGCGGAAGGTGGGGGAATTCCACCACCTCCCATAAAAGCAGGGAGAAGGTCTTGGAGTAGCTCACAGGCTGTGTGCAGGGGTGCAGAATCATTCTCCCCCTTGATTCCCCCCCCTGAAAACTAGGTGCACCCTATGGGCTGGTGCGCCTTATAGGGCGAAAAATACGGTGCATCATACCTACATCACAGAAAAGGCGGTCTACAACAGAAATCTGAGTGTATTGTTTACCTCCTGTCTGGCAGGTTACCTGTTAATGGTCACTTGATTGGATACCCTGGGGAGCCTGGCCAGTCTTTTGTAATGACAAATACTTAGTTCCTGAGCCAGGTCACAGGCTCACCCTATTCATACACAGACATACCCTTAAGACAGGATTTGTGAAGGAACAGACAATGGGGAGGCTTTTCCATTTCCTTCGACCTTGCAGAGAAAACATTTGGTCAGTTTGGGAGTCAAAAATGGTTTCAGTTCTGTTTTCGTGTGCTGCTTCAGATGTGTGGTTTATATATTTATGTACGTGTTTGCTTGGTACATTTATGAACATTTATTATATATATAAGACCTTAATTTTTTTTATTTCACCACCCTAACCCCTCAATGTCCGCTCTCCCGCGCCCCTGCAGGAACTCAGTGCGCTTGGTGATCCGCAAAGTCCAGTATGCGCCAGAGCGGCCAGGGCCGCAGCCGATGGCCGAGACCACCCGGCAGTTCCTCATGTCGGACAAGCCCCTGCACTTGGAAGCTTCCCTGGACAAAGAGGTATCTTTCAGGCCCTCCTTTTGTGCCCGTTGTCTAGAATCCGCCGGGCGGCTCTTGCTGTCCTCCCTTCCAGGATTAGGTTGTGGTTTGGGCCAAATCCTGACTCCACTCAGAGGCTGCCTGCTTGTTTCGGGTGGACTCTCGGGGACGGCCTCACCCAGGGCCTGATTTAGGTTGCTTGTGTTCTCTGTAGATTTACTATCACGGGGAGCCGATCAGCGTCAACGTTCACGTGACGAACAACACCAACAAGACGGTGAAGAAGATTAAAATCTCAGGTGAGTTTGGATGCCTCTTGGGGCATCCCTTACCTTGTGGGTGGGTCGAGGGAGCATCCTGGCAAAGGAAAGGTGGCTTGAGTTTTTGGGGCCGCCCCCCGTGACTCGGGTCCAGCCCCAGTATACCTGAAGGAGCGTCTCCACCCCCATCGTTCTGCCCAGACACTGAGGTCCAGCACCAAGGGCCTTCTGGCAGTTCCCTCCCTGCGAGAAGTGAGGTTGCAGGGAACCAGGCAGAGGGCCTTCTCGGTGGTGGCGTCCGCCCTGTGGAACGCCCTCCCACCAGATGTCAAAGAGAAGAACAACTACCAGACTTTTAGAAGACATCTGAAGCCAGCCCTGTTCAGGGAAGCTTTTAATGTTTGATGCATTACTATATTTTAATATGTTGTTGGAAGCCGCCCAGAGTGGCTGGGGAAACCCAGCCAGATGGGCGGGGTATAAATAATAATAATAATAATAATAATAATAATAATAATAATAGTAAAATACAGTGGTACCTCGAGTTACAAACGCCTCAGGTTACAAACACTTCATGTTAGAAACTCCACTAACCTGGAAGACTTACCTCGAGTTGAGGTAACTTTTCCCCAGGATGAGAACGGAAATCGTGTGCTGGCAAAAGCACACCTCTAGTTAAGAACAGTTTCAGGTTAAGAACAGACCTCCGGAACAAATTAAGTTCAAAACTAGAGGTATCACTTTAATAATAATAATAGCATTATTCAGAACAGTGGTTTGCACACCCCACTAAGGAAGATAATAACACAATAAAATTCAAAACCACTGATCTAATGTCCTCTCTCTTTCTTTCTCTTTCTCTTTCTCTTTCTCTTTCTCTTTCTCTTTCCTTCCTTCCTTTCATTTGCAGTTCGCCAATACGCAGACATCTGCCTCTTCAACACAGCCCAGTACAAATGCCCCGTTGCAGTGGAGGAAGCAGAGTGAGTATTGTCAATTGGCTCTCTTCATCCACGTGGGCTCTGCCCGCAAGGGGCTTACAGTTTGAAGAAGCCCCAGCCAACATGTCCAGGAATGATAGGGGCTGTGATTTAGCAGCGTCTCAAGGGCACCAGGTTGGGGAAGGTTGTGCTGGAGCCTGAGAGGCAAAAGTCACCAGAGGGTTGAATGTGAGGAAGCCAAGCTTGCTTTGATTTTGTTATGAACTGAGGCGAGGACTTGGGTGCTCAGCTGTTGGGGGTCACCATCTCCTCTGAGTATTTGGGAAAAGTTCACGTGCAAAATGACCACATCTGTATCATGCATTTAAAGCATAACCGTACTGTTTTAAATCATCATGTCTTCCTTGTTGGAGGGCCTCTGTTCTCCTCACAAAGTCACAATCCCCTGGGAAAGAAGGATTGCGTGCTGAACCACCCTGAAAGGGAGCGCTTCACACTGCAACACTTCGTTGCAGCTCACACTAGTATAAACTGATAGAATCTCAGGTCTCCAAGTGCCAGGACTTATGTAGGGAAAACGACAACATCCAGGTACAAGATTTCAGGGCTCTGAGGTTTGTAGAAATACCAGAGAAAGACCCCCCCCACAAAAAAAAAACCTTAGGAAAACCCTTGAATTGAGACCCCCTTCCTGCCCCCCCACCCCCAAAACACAGCCAAGTGGCGAGTTAACCACACAACATGGTAGCAGAATGCCAACTGGCCGTTTGGGGGACAAACAGAATACTTCACGGTTGAGGAAGGGGAAGCGGAAGGGAGTGGAATACTTGGGAGACAGCACTGCACGCTGCGACATTTTGTTGCAGTTCCCTCTTACTGTGACTGGGCTGCCAGGCAGCTGCAGCGATGTGCAGTCGAGGTTTGAGCCCACTGTGCCTTGATCTCTTTCTTCCCCCCACCCCCAAATAATCTTTATTAGTTTTCCGGTTACAATACTCCACATACAGATAATGTGTTGTGTTTTACATTTATACTTGCTCCTAAGCGCTGACTTCCCTCCTTCCTTCCCTCTGGTTTTTTTATATCACATATAATTTTACCACATTATTTTCATCTGTTTTGTAGATTGTAATTCATTTCCCGTGTTTGTCCATAGTATATCCATAAAGAAACAAATCCTCCAGTTTAGACAATTCTTGTTGTCCGTCTGTATTCATTTACAACTACTGTTGGTTACCGTATTTTTTGCTCTATAAGATGCACTTTTCCCCTCCTAAAAAGTAAGGGGAAATGTGTGTGCTTCTTATGGAGCGAATGCAGGCTGCGCAGCTATCCCTGAAGCCAGGAGAGCGAGAGGGATCGGTGCGCAGCGATCCCTCTTGCTGTTCTGACTTCGCTTTGCTGGAGAGGCGCTGCGCAGAGAGGGAGAGAATATTTTTTTTCTTGCTCTCCTCCTCTAAAACTAGGTGCTTCTTGTGGTCGGGTGCGTCTTATAGAGCGAAAAATGCTGTATATTAATCTCCTTAGACATTTTCATAGAATCATAGAGTTGGAATAGACCACAAGGGCCATCGAGTCCAACCCCCTGCCAAGCAGGAAACACCATCAGAGCACTCCTGACATATGGTTGTCAAGCCTCTGCTTAAAGACCTCCAAAGAAGGAGACTCCACCACACTCCTTGGCAGCCAATTCCACTGTCGAACAGCTCTTACTGTCAGGAAGTTCTTCCTAATGTTTAGGTGGAATCTTCTTTCTTGTAGTTTGGATCCACTGCTCCGTGTCCGCTTCTCTGGAGCAGCAGAAAACAACCTTTCTCCCTCCTCTATGTGACATCCTTTTATATATTTGAACATGGCTATCATATCACCCCTTAACCTCCTCTTCTCCAGGCTAAACATGCCCAGCTCCCTTAGCCGTTCCTCATAAGGCATCGTTTCCAGGCCTTTGACCATTTTGGTTGCCCTCCTCTGGACACGTTCCAGTTTGTCAGTGTCCTTCTTGAACTGTGGTGCCCAGAACTGGACACAGTACTCCAGGTGAGGTCTGACCAGAGCAGAATACAGTGGCACTATTACTTCCCTTGATCTAGATGCTATACTCCTATTGACGCAGCCCATTTTGCTTTGCGCCTTGTTCTCTTTCACTGATCTGTGCTGTTATCCCCGTCTCCAGCGACGTGGTGGCTCCCAGCTCGACCTTCTGCAAAGTCTACACATTGACCCCGTTCCTCGCCAACAACCGGGAGAAGCGCGGCCTCGCCCTGGACGGGAAGCTCAAGCACGAAGACACCAACCTGGCCTCCAGCACACTGTGAGGGTTTTTCCTACCTACCAGCAGTTGGGGGAAGGGGAGGAGGAGGAGGAGGCAGCCGGTTTCCCTTGCTGAGCAAACCGCGGGTGGAGTTTGGTGTTTTCTGTTTTCATGTAGCACCCAGAGCTAAGCAGTTAAGAAGGAAAGGCTGCAGGATCAGGCCAGGGGCCCATCTAGTCCAGCATCCTCTTCCCACCAGATACCCATTACAGGAAACCCCTGAGCAGGGTCCCAGCACAAGAGGCCTCTCCCCAATTGCAACTTGAATTCAGAAAGCTTGCGTGCTGGTCCCGTGGGTTACCCGAGAGGCGAGGTCCAAGTCCAGTCCATGGTCAAAGCTGCAACATGGAGGCAGTCCGCAGTACAGTGGTGCCCCGCAAGACGAATGCCTCGCAAGACGAAAAACTCGCTAGACGAAAGGGTTTTCTGTTTTTTGAGTCGTTCTGCAAGACGAATTTCCCTATGGGCTTGCTTTGCAAGACGAAACGTCTTGCGAGTTCTTGCGAGTTTGTTTCCTTTTTCTTAAAGCCGCTAAGCCGTTAATAGCCGCTAAGCCGCTAATAGCCGTGCTTCGCAAGACGAAAAAACCACAAGACGAAGAGACTCGCGGAACAGATTAATTTCGTCTTGCGAGGCACCACTGTAGCTGAAGCTGGGTGCAGGGCAGGGAGTCGGGTGAAGTTAGGAACAGGCAGGGAGCCAGGGCGGGTCAGGAGCTCAGGCAGGAATGCATTACAGGATTCAGGCATGAACTAGCAACCAACAATGTTGCTCCCGTAACCTGGGACTGGGGCTGGCCGGCTTTTATCTGCCCCGAGGCACAGGGCAGCCCCGATCCTCTGGTGACTCGCCTCTCCTGACCTGAAGGCGAGCACTCCTCCTGTGGGAACTTAGTTCCCTCCGCCTCTCTGCCTGAGCCTCTGCAGCTCAGGAGAGGCTGGAGGGTTACCGGACCCAGAGGCAACCTCAGCTTCCTCTGACGGGGCTGAGAGTGGAGCACCTGCAGGGAAAGGGTCCTCCATCACCTCAGGAGCCAGAGCAGGCTCAGCTGGTGCCTGCACCTGAGGATCCAGCACAGGTGAGGACCCTTCAGGCTCAAGCCCCAGCCCCGGCTCAGCTGGTCCTGGAGGCGGGGAATCCTGTGCAGGCTGGGCTCCCTCAAGTTCAGCATCTGAGTCCGAATCCCAGCCCATCACACCTTGATTGCAATTTTCTTTCAAGATCATATCCAATATTATTTCGACCTGTCGTCATGGGGCCCCTAAAAGCTGTGGGGCCCGCAGGTCGCTTGCCTGCTCTGCCTATTTGCTCATCTGGCACTGGGAACCGCTCATTAGAAAAGACTGCCCCGGAGGAACGTTGTACAAAGCTCACACAGGGGTTTCGAACACAGCAATAATAATAATAATAATTTTTTATTTATACCCTGCCCTTCCCAGTTCAGAAAACCGGGCTCAGGGCGGCTAACAACAAATTTAAAACACTTAATTGTAGAAGCAGTGTAAAATACAGTATAAAAACATGAATAACAATAAAATTCAAAGTTCAGAAATCAATTTAGGGGAAATCCATCTAAAGCATTAGATAATCACCAGGGCTAGCTGGCTGAATTGGTCCTACTTGGGCCAGTGAGGAGACCACGGGAGAATTAGCTGTGGGGTCTCAGAGCGGGTGGTCCTCATAAAAGGGGAGGGGGAGGGAAGAGAAGGAAGGGAAATAAAAGATCAGGCTGAATTCAAATTAAAGGCCAGGCGGAATAGCTCTGTCTTACAGGCCCGACGGAAGGAGGCTAAATCCTGAAGGGCCCTGGTCTCATGGGACAGAGCATTCCACCAGGTTGGAGCCATCACTGAGAAGGCCCTGGCCCTGGTGGAGGATAGTCTGCTTCCTTAGGGCCCGGGAACTCTAAACTATGGTTATTCATGGACCTTAAGGTCCTTTGCGGGCCAGACCAGGAGAGGCGGTCCCGTAAATACGAGGGCCCTAAGCCACAAACAATCGCTTTGGCTCCATGTTCTTTTGCACACTCTCACTCCTCCAGGTTGAGAGACGGCGCCAACAAGGAGGTCCTGGGCATCATTGTCTCCTACAAAGTGAAAGTGAAGCTGGTGGTCTCTCGCGGCGGGTGAGTGCTGCTCAGTTCTGCAAAGTGCTATAATGCCTTCTTTCCGCTTAGAGGGATTTGGGGAGCGCTCCGAATCGCTCCTCCGGGGCCCTCTTCCCTGGAGAATCACCGGCAGCAGCCCTAGAGGCAGCCACCTAAGGATGCCCCATTGAACTTGAGGGGCGGGCATCTAAATAACGGCTGCGTGGTGGACCAGTGAATTCCGACCTGGCAATTCCACATGCTCCCATGTGCCAATGAGCCACCAAGCCAGTTGGATAACCCCGTCCCCTTGTGTCATGCCCCACGCCACCCCCGGCGATCCCTTCTGTCTTGGTGGCGGCACCAGGAGACCTGTGCCCCGAGGCTCCGCAAACCGGAGGCTCCGAAACGGTGTGGGGTTGTTGAGCTTGCACGCAAATCCCAGTCCCCTTGACTGTGCCGCTGTGATTGTTGCAACCTCTAACCAATTCTCTCCATCTCCTTTGATAACACCAGCCTGCTGGGAGACCTTGCCTCCAGGTAACGCCCTCAGACTCCGCCTGCTGCGGCTGACCGTGCCCCCCCCCAACCCAGCATGCTTGGGGGAAAACCCCTCCCACTTTTCTCATCTTCCGCTCGCCATCTTTTTCTCCTCTTTTTTTTTGCCATCTCCGTCATTTCTCTTCCTCCATCAGAAGCTTTCGTTTTGCACTTGGACCCCTCCAAGCTGCCACATCGGACCAGCCTCAGCACCCCACCCGGTGCCCCTCCAGATCCTGGTTCTCTAGTCCAGGGGTTGGCAAAAAATTTTTAGGCGCGGGCCGGTCCACTGTCCCTCAGACCTTGTGGCGGGGGGGGGGCTGGAAGAAGAGGCGACAGGGGCAAGTAGTCAGCCCCAGCCGCTGCGCTTACCTTCCCAGGGGCTGCTGCTTCTTGCGAGTAGGCAGAACAAGTTCGTCCGCTCTGCTCTCTGGCCCGCAGGAGCACCAGGGTGGTAGAAGGAAGTTGAGCGGCGCAAAAGGGCTTGTTCCAGAGCCCAGCCTAGCATCCTTCCTCCTCCATGTTGCAAAATACAGTGGTACCTCGCAAGACAAAAAACCCGCAAGACGAAAGGGTCTTTTGTTTTTTGAGCTGCTTCGCAAGACGATTTTCCCTATGGGCTTGCTTCGCAAGACGGAAACGTCTTGCACGTTTGTTTCCTTTTTCTTAACACCGTTAATACAGTTGCGACTTGACTTGCGAGGAGCAACCCATAGCACGCGGTGTGGTAGCCTTTTTTGAGGTTTTTGAAGACTTTGGTGATTTTTGAAGCTTTTCCAAAACTTTCCCGACACCGTGCTTCGCAAGACGAAAAAAATCGCAAGACGGACAAAACCCGCGGAACGAATTAATTTCATCTTGCGAGGCACCACTGTATGATTCAGCAATATCAGAAGCAACACGATGGCCAGAAACAATAACAACGTGAAAAACTTTATGGAATAATTCAAAACATCAAAACTAACAAACCGAAGTCTCTGGAAGTCTCTGGAAGTCCTTAAATGGATCACGGTGCCAGACTTTACCAGGAGGAGAGCAAGCTGTGAAGTTTTGTATAATCAGCAGATGTCCAATTCTGATGTCCAACTCTGAACTTGAACGGACAGTCCGCGGGGTGGATCCTGAAGGCCATTGGGCCTGATCCAGCCCGCGGGCCCTTAGTTTGCCGACCCCTGCTCTAGTCCAACCCCCTTCAGTGGAGGAATCTGGGAGCCCCTCCATGGCAGGTGGCCATCTGAGCACTTAGGAAAGCTCCAAGGAAGGAGAATTCACCACCTCTCAGGGGAGTCGGTTGCGGCATCGGGGAAAAAACCTCCCACCCCGTGGCTCTGCTGGAGGTACCTCCACAAATCCTGCAGCTGCGCCGTCGCCATGTGCTAGCTCGTAATGCACTCCTGTAGCTCTTGGAATCATAGAGTTGGAAGGGACCCCCAGCCGCCATGTAGTCCACCCCTTGCAGTGGAGGAATCCCAACTAAAGCATCCATGGCAGGTGGCCAGCCAGCCCCCCCTTTGGGGAAAACCCGCCAGGGAAGGAGACCCCACTGTCTTCCAAGGGAGTTCATTCCCTGGTCGAACAGCCCTCCCCACCAGAAAGTTATTCCTAAGGTTCAGTGAGAATCTCCTTTCTTGCAATCGGCTTAAAATTCCCTTCCATCCCCAACCAAGGCCTCTTGCGGCCTTCCCAGAAGGATTTCTGTGTTGGAAGCGACCCAGAGTGGCTGGGGCAACCTGGACAGATGGACGGGGTATTAATAATAATAATAATAATAATAATAATAATAATAATAATAATATGGTTATCCACCATTGGCAACAAGATGGGTTCTGGGACTGATCCAGCACGACTTTCTCTAGATACATAAAGAGGAATAGGCAAATTCATGGAGCTCTTTCAGGATGGCCAAATGAAGAACAGAAGGACACAAAAAGGGCTCACTGGCTCAGGCCTGTGGCCCATCCTGCTCTCCCAGGGCCCAGCCAGATGCGCCATTGGGAAACCCGTAAGCGAGATTCAAACCCAGGACCAAACTCCCCTCCTGCAGTTTCCAGCAAATGGTATTCAGAAGCATTGGTTCCTCCAGCTGTGAAGAAGAGCCTGGCTGTCCTAGTTAGTAGCCATCGATAGCCCCCCTCCATGAAATGGTCTGGTCCTCTTTTAAAGCCATCTAGGTTGGCGGCCACCACTGTGCTTCCTGTGGCAGGGAGTTCCGCAGACCATCTGTGTGCAGAAGCGCTTTCATTTTCCGTCCCGAATCTTCCAGCCTTCAGCTTCATTGGACGCCCATGAGTTTCCGCGAGTTGTCCTCCCACCCAGAGGTGCTCCGGGTGCAAACGCTCGAAACCTCTTGCTTTTCCTCGCTGTCTCTGGCAAATTTCGCTTTTGAGAGGTTCCTCCCGTTCCAGGGTCTCAGCATCCTCTCTCAGCCGCCCTGATTCATCGATGACAGCAGGCGGCATAAAACCGAGACGCTGCAGCGAGTTAAGAGCTCAAGTCCCAAGAAGATGCATGCAGCTGGGTGCATCTTGCTCTCAGATCTATGCAGAAAGAGAGATTTAGATCAACGGCTCCTCCTGCTGGCAGAGAAGAGCCAGCCCATTATTTTCCTGTCCTGGGCAATAACTTTACATTTGTACTCCATTGGAACCGAATTTGCAGAATCATGGAAGTTGTAGAGTTGGGCAGGACCAGTTGCATGATGGGCGCCATTTATTTATTAACAGCTTTTATATATCCCTCGACCGTAAGAAGACTTCAAGGCAAAAGCACAGCGTAAAACATTTAAATAATGGATCACAACCCCGCACACAGTTACACACCGGTGTTTAAAAACATTCGAAAGGCGATTTCAAAAATCAACTCTAGCTAAGAAGAAATAAACAGCCTGTGATGTCCATGTGTCTGGACAGGCTTAGCTCAGATGGTTAGAGCGTGGTGTTGATATTGCCAAGGTTGCAGGTTCGATCCCTGCATGGGACAGCTTTCCAGGGGGTTGGACTAGATGGCCATTGGGGGCCCCCTTACAACTCTACAATTCTATGATTCTATGGTTCAGGATGGATAAAAGAAAGTACTTCTTCACACAACGCAATGAGAAAAGTCATCTAAAAGAAAAAATTGACAGCAATAGTTTAAGACTTCCAAAAATTTAGCCATAGACTAATAATGCATTCAAACTCCATGTTCTAGAGTGGCTTGCCCCAACAAAAGCTTTTAGCAGGTGCTGAAAAGGGCACCGCAAAGTGCCTTCCTAACGTCAACAGGCAGGGAATTCCAAAGTGCAGGTGCCGCCATACCAAACAATCAAGTTACAACGGTACCTTGGTTCTCAAACTTAATCTGTTCCAAAAACCAAATCGTTCCAAAACCAAGGTGCGCTTTCCCATAGAAAGTAATGCAAAACGGATTAATCCGTTCCAGACTTTTAAAAACAATCCCTAAAACAGCAATATAACATGGATTTTACTATCAAAGAAGACCATTGATCCATAAAATGAAAGCAATAGCCAATGTACTGCAGTCACACAATCAATCAATAGCTGAACTGGGTTCCACACAGTCACAAAGACGAAACAAAAAAAGCCGCAAAAACGCAAAATAAATAGCCAAAACATACAGACCTCAGCTTAACACTCAAAACGAAGCACGTTCGGCTTCCAAAAAAAGTTCGCAAACCGGAACACTTGCTTCTGGGTTTGCAGTGTTTGGGTTCCAAGTTGTTTGAGCACCAAGGTGTTTGAGAACCAAGGTATCACTGTATTGACTTTTGGAACTGCAGCCCCCCCCCAATCCCAGCAAAGCACTCCCCCTCCTCCTTGTTCAAGCCCCTCACAGCCATTCAGTCGTGGTCCCAAACATCTGGGGAGTGCTGCAGGCTGCAGAAGGCTGCGCTAGAGCCTGAGCAAGCTAACTTAGTCTGTTTGGGGGCGCTCCTTGGGGTGGCTCACTCTCTTGTCTGTCTTTCCAGCGACGTGGCTGTGGAGCTGCCATTCACCCTAATGCACCCCAAACCCAAGGAGGAGCCTCTGCAACGGGACGGTGAGTTGAGTGTCTGCCCCCACCCCACTCCGCAAGGGGGCTCTGCTTGGGGGGGTCTCGGTGGTGTGGGAATGTTCAGGGTGGCAGGAGAAGATATATTGTTTATTAATATCCTTCCTAACTTGCGCTAGCAAGTTCCTTTACTTAGCAGAGCTTACATTCCCCCTTTTTACATGCATAGCAGATAGCTGGTCGCAGGCTTGTGTGAGCCTCTCACTATTGTACGATTTGATCTGTCTAAGATTGAATTGTGCATTCCTGGTAAGTTGCGTGGCGAGTTCCCGCCTCCCCCCCACCCGTGGAAATAATGACACATGACACAATTATTAAGGTTAATAGGCTAAAAAAGGCCACAACTTTATTGGTTACAGGTGATGAGCGGTATTGGCTTAGGCATTGGTCCTAACTGACTATATCCGACTTCAGCCCGTCCGCTTGAAGTCCAGGAAGGGTTAACCACCAGTAGGGGGAGTCCTGCTGATGCACATCAACTAGGAACTCCCCCGGGGTCACCAATAGGGGGCGTGCCTTAGGCCCTCACCTCCCTAGGCTTCGGACAGGGCCACACCCCCCGGATTCCTTTACCAGACTGCCCTTCAATATGCGGGGCAGGTGATGGCGCTACCTCCCCTCTTCCATCTACAGAACTATACCAATGCCTAACTGCCAATACCCAGAAAGTTGTGACGATTTGCTATGAGGTAGGCGAAAACCAAGTGGCTGGTGCCAATTTGCCAAGTGGAAAAAATTCCTACCAGGCCCCTCAATGGTGACCAACCAAGGTCCATAGCAAGGTCAAAAAACGAGAACCTTATAGGGAGGGAGGGTGGGAAAAGCAGGAACAGCTGGCAGGCGGCAAAGAGGGCGATCCCCAGCCGCGTCCTGCTTTAAATAAGGCAGGCCACACCCCCACAGCCAGCCGATTGGCTGGCCAGGAGGTGATGCAGCCGGGAATCCCTCCAATCATGTGAGGGCTGGGGCCGTGAAGCTCACAACTCCACCTCCTCCGAAGGGCGGAAGTGGCTTTCCCTTTAAAAAGGTAAAGGTACCCCTGCCCGTAAGGGCCAGTCTTGACAGACTCTGGGGTTGTGCGCCCATCTCACTCAAGAGGCCGGGGGCCAGCGCTGTCCGCAGACACTTCCGGGTCACGTGGCCAGCATGACAAAGCTGCATCTGGCGAGCTAGCGCAGCACATGGAAACGCCATTTACCTTCCCGCCAGTAAGCGGTCCCTATTTATCTACTTGCACCCGGGGGTGCTTTCGAACTGCTAGGTTGGCAGGCGCTGGGACCGAGCAACAGGAGCGCACCCCGCTATGGGGATTTGAACCGCTGACCTTTTGATCGGCAAGCCCTAGGTGCTGAGGCTTTTACCCACAGCGCCACCCGCGTCCCTCAGGCTTTCCCTTTAATCCCTTTTAAAAGAATAAAGACACGACAATCTTATTTAAAGTCAATAAAAGAAGTTTACTCACATCAGTTCACAGTTGGATTCCTGAAGGCAGACTTAGTTACAAATATGTACATGTGGATCTACCCCATATGGGGGAATAATCCCAGTGCTTCTGCTAGCTAGCAGAGCACTCCTAGCAAAAAAGCTGGTCCAAAAAAGAAGGAAATGAAAAAGGGAGAGAGTGCTGCGTGACTCGTCTTTTTGTTACCTGGACAGGTAAGGTCACGCCCACCTCTAGTCACATGCAAGGGAAGGGATGCTCTAGCCCAGGAGGAACAGGAAGTTTCAACTGGCAGGACCAACATCCCCTTGCATGTCCACTCTAGGAAAACAAGGAATGTTGTATTTCACTGGTCCCAGGGAATTACATCCCACAGTTCGGAGCATCTCGCTTTGGAAGGACCCAGTTTCAGCCGTGAGGCTGGAAGCCCGAACTTGTTCCATGGCAGCACGGTTGTTAGGACGGAGTTTGTGCATCGACGGGGCCTGTGTCTCAGAGCAGCCTTCCCAATGTCAACCAGCAGGGAGTTCCAATGTTTAGGTCCTGCCACACCAAAGGACTGAGTTCTTCCAAATGGTAGAACGAGCCAGTTTCACAGACTTGGGTCTCCATCTATTGTTGGACTACAACTCCCATCATTCCTAGCTAGCAGGACCAGTCGTTAGGAACGATGGGGGTTATGATCCAGAAACAGCCGGAGAACCAAGTTTGGGAAACTCAAGCTAGATGAATGCAGCACCAGCCAGACGATGCTTTGAACTACCATCAACTTCCTGATTACACATATTTTTATTTATCGATAAATAAATGTGTGCAATAGCAGCAGTGGGTGGACGCAGAAATGTGGCATAGATGCAGGTGTGAGATGTCAGCAGCTGGCTTGAGGCGCCATTTAAAATGAATAAATTGATACCTATTCATAGATATGCAAAAATACCTACCCATTACAAAGCCTCTTTCTATAGTATACTAAGAAAAGACAACTGCTTAGTCTAAAAAAGAACAAAGTCAGAAAGAAGAGACCCTACCTGCCCACAGACTGTCTCGCCAGAGTTGTGCATGCTCTGGTTATCTCCCTCTTGGACTACTGCAATGCGCTCTATGTGGGGCTACCTTTGAAGGAGACCCAGAAACTACAGCTAATCCAGAATGCGGCAGCTAGACTGGGGACTGGGAGTGGCCGCCAAGACCACATAACACCGGTCTTGAAAGACCTGCATTGGCTCCCAGTACGTTTCCGAGCAGAATTCAAAGTGTTGGTGCTGACCTTTAAAGCCCTAAACGGCCTCGGTCCAGTATACCTGAAGGAGCGTCTCCACCCCCATCGTTCTGCCCGGACACTGAGGTCCAGCGCCGAGGGCCTTCTGGCGGTTCCCTCGCTGCGAGAAGCCAAGTTACAGGGAACCAGGCAGAGGGCCTTCTCGGTAGTGGCGCCCGCCCTGTGGAACGCCCTCCCACCAGATGTCAAAGAGAAAAACAACTACCAGACTTTTAGAAGACATCTGAAGGCAGCCCTGTTTAGGGAAGCTTTTAATGTTTGATGCATTACGGTGCTGACCTTGAAAGCTCTAAACGGCCTCAAAGGGTCAGTTGACCTGAAGGAGCGTCTCCACCCCCATCAGCCAGCCCGGACACTGTTCTCGGTAGTGGCCCCCACCCTGTGGAATGCCCTCCCATCAGATGTGAAGAAAATAAACAACAATCTGACTTTTAGAAGACATCTGAAGTCAGCCCTGTTTAGGGAAGTTTTTAATGTTTGAAGTTTTAGTGTTCTGTTGGGAGCTGCCCAGAGTGGCTGGGGAAACCCAACCAGCTGGGCGGGGTATAAATTATTATTATTATTATTATTATTATTATTATTATTATTATTATTAAGCCTCGGCTATGTGGCAGCCGTGAAACCCCCAGTTGCATGGCCCAGATCCTCTTCTCCCCCAGCAGTGCAAAAAGTCAATCAGCTGGAGAGCAGATCTGTACCTTTGGGGGGCTGTGTGGAAGCCACGTCCTCATGACTCAGCCCAGTGCACCTCCTGGGGGTGGTTGGGGGGCAAGGCCCAAGGTGCCGTGTGCCCCCTTGCCGCTGCCACCTTCACCAAGGGCGGGGTGAGTTTTTGCACGGGGAGGGACATGGCACCAAAAATCCTTCCCACTAGGCGCCACTGCCCGCAGTTGCTTCCTGGGCCGTTGAAGAGCAGCCTGGCCACTGATGGCTTTGCCCCCCGATTTCTGCTGTCCAAGGTGCCAGAGGTTTAAATTATTTCCCCGCCTTGCCGTTGTGCGCTTGGTTTTAATGAAGCCTTCTGCCCAACGCACAACAAAGTAGAAATCATGTGAGAGGATTAATTTTTTTCCTGCGCTGGTTCCCCGTCTGTGGAATGCTCTCCCCAGGGAAGTTCGCCTGGCGCCTTCGTTATACACCACCTTTAGGCGCCAGGCAAAAATGTTCCTTTTTAACCAGGCCTTTAACCAGGCACACCCACCCACCGTATTTTTCCATGTATAAGACGATACTTTTTCCTTAGAAATAACAGACCAAAATTGCAGTTCATCTTGTACACACATAGCAGAGGGGGGACAGGTGATACGTTGCTGCGATTGGGTGTGTGATTTGCTGCTGCAACGAGGTCTGCTGGCGATCGGCTGTGTGGCAACTGGACGTTGATTTATGGCAGTCGTGAGGCATTGTTGCGTTTATTGGGAAGGTGGGCTTTTTGCGGTGAGCAGTCTGTAGAGTGATTGGTGTTGGGCAACCCCCTTCCTCCCCAATTTTTTTTTGTTGCGGTCCCCCAAATACATGAGGGGGTGTTATACACAGGAAAATATGGCATATGCAGTGGACGCTCGGGTTGTGAACGTGATCCGTCGGGAGGCACGTTCGCAACCCGCAGCGTTCGCAACCGGCCGCGCCGCGTCTGTGCACGTGCGGGTTGCGATTATGTGATTCTGCACATGCGCAAAGCGCAATTTACCGCTTCTGCACATGTGCAACCGCCGAAACCCAGAAGTAATCCGTTCTGGTACTTTGGGTTTTGGCGAGTCCGTAACCCGAAAAAACGCAACCTGAAGCATCTGTAACCCAAGGTATGACTGTACTGTGATCCTTTTATGTGACCCGCCCTGAGACCTTCGGGTATAGGGCAGTATATAAATTAATAATAATAATAATAATGATGTTGGGGAAATGGCTGACCTCTGGCGCTCGAGAAAACTAACCGTTTGCCCCGATTCCATCTGTTCAGTTCCAGAAAACGAAGCTCCGATTGACACAAATCTCATAGAGCTTGATACGAAGTAAGCCGGACTCACTGTGGGGGGAGGACGATTGGGGGGGGGCAAATGACCACATGGGGAATCCTGCATCCTTTGCATGTCTCTCCATCATCTTCATTTAGCTCGATAGGGAGTCACCTCAATTCCTCTGCATGCCACTCGCTAACCAACTAACTTGCCATCCTCCGTGGAAAGGGCTGCGGCAGCTTCCTTTTAACGCTCTTGCATGTAACACGAAATCTGCATTTTTTTTTCTTCTCTTCCCCCCTCCCCTTCCTTTGCATGATCCCAACCATCACCTCTTCTGCATGTCCCACGGAGCAGGAAAAACACAGTAAGAGCTCTCCTAATCTCTGCCTTTGCTCAGTGGTCGCTTCTGTGTTCCCTTGGGCAGGGTGATTCCTGCACTGCCGCGGGGTTGGGCTAGATGACCTGGGGAGGTCCCTTCCAGCTCTGCGATTCTTGGGCAGTGCCCAGGGGCTTGCTGCTTCTGAGCGGAAAGCGGCCTGATAGAAGCTTTGCGCCTGGTGACACAGGCCACGCACCACCGTCGCTTTCACCCCTGATTTTTCACCATTGGTCAAACAGGCTTTGCAGGTTTCGGAAACAAACCCCAAACACGCAGCACCTATTTGAGCAGAGGCGAAGCATCGGTTAGATCTTGCAGCTCGACTTTGCTTGCTCAGGTTTCTGGTAGCACAGAAATTTGGGGGTTTGGGCAGATAATCCCCCCCCCTTTTTAGGAGACACCATAGAACAGCCCAGCCAAATTCTTATCGGGGTGCACAAATGTTTGCTGAAAGTTTCATAAGGAAACAAAGAAAGTTTCTCAGTGGGAAAGGAGAGGAAGACCACAATTTAATATCATGTTTCCCAGTCTCTCTCTGGGTGCCTCCAGATGGGGGTTATTATGGGATGGGGACTCCTCCTGCACTCAGGGGTCTGCAGTGCCCACAATATATTGTTGTCATCAAAACACCCGTATTTCCCCCCAATTCATCTGGATTTTTTGGAGGAAATCTGTTGTTGCCCATGACTTGCTTGCAATTCATCATGATTATCGTTATTTTTACTGCACGTTTACGTCGATTTCTACAAAATATGTCTCTAACGCGATGTACAAATGTCAACAAGTGCCCAGCAACTTGTGAATTGTTTTAAGCCAAAAGCACGGAATGAAAGAGAATGCAATGGAGAAAATAAATTAATATTAGGGGCCACCCCCAGAGAAGGCCCTCTCCTGGGCTGCCATTCTCCCCACTTCTGAGCGCAGTGGAACAACCAAGAGGGGGCCCCTCCGCCCATTTTCGCTTCTTGCCTAGTGATCTCGCCAGGGTATCACTTCCACCTCTACATTTCTGCGCTTCTGCAACTGCCCCAGAGGTACCTGCCGACTCCTAGCCCCATGTCCCCATCTTTTTAGCGGCTCTTGGCCCATTTTCCCTCTCGCTTTCTCTCTTCCGCTAGTGACGACGACATCGTCTTTGAGGACTTTGCCCGCCAGAGGCTGAAGGGGGTGAAAGACGAGAAGGAGGACGACGACGACGGGATGAGCTCCCCGCAGCTGAACGACAGATAAACTGGATCTCCTCCCCGTGGGTCTCTCTCTCCGTTTCCAAGTCCTGACACCTGAGCACTAGGCTTCTTATCTTTTGTATAAAGGTTTCTTTCTTTTTTCCAGGGTGGGGTTGGGGGTCGAGTTCCTTTGTTTTTTAAAACACTGACCAGGAACCTGTGGGGTGAGTCGGGGAGCTTGCGAGAGCCTTGGGTTCTTTTCCCACCTGCTCTGCAAGCCACAGATTTTTCTGGCGGCCTCCAAGGAAGGGCGAATGCCCACCCCTCTGTGAGCCACGCTGGAGGGGTGGGGGCTATGTGTGCGTGTTTTCTGTCGTCGTCGTTGTTTGCCCAGGAAGGAGCAGTGGCCTTGCTTGGTAACTGTGCTCTGCTTTCTGCTGGGGGCTCCATCCCAGTGTCCCCACCCCACTGGCTCCAGGGCCCTGCTGCTTTGCACCTCGCTCCGTTCACCTGCGGAACCCCCTGCCACAAGATGCGGCAATGGGCGCCTCTCGCCCTGACAGTTCCCAAGGCGATTTTGGAGACCTCCTGACGGCTGTTAAACCAGGAGGCAATGCGTCTGGAGCTGGCCGCCATGGTCTTTGGGTCGGATCCAGCGCTGTGCTGTCTTCCCAGGTTTTCCATCTCTTGCCCCGAGGGCCTTTTTGAGATGCTTAGAATATTAGAATTGTAGAGTTGGAAGGGACCCTGCGGGTCATCTAGTCCAACCCCCTGCAATGCAGGAATCTTTTGCCCAATGTGTGGCCCTGAGTTCGAGTCTCATGCTCCACCCACTGAGCTGTCCCAGGTCCAAAGAGGGGCTATGACTCAGGGAGGGAGTTTATCGGCAGGCTCATTCCCCATCATCTCTAGATAAATGGAACAAGGTAGAAAAAGATGCACAAGTTGATGGAATTGAGATGAGGGTGAAGAAAGGCAGCAGTCCGGTTTTGCAGAAATGGAGAATTCTCCCTTCCAAACCCCTATTGCATGTTCTAAACGCTTTAGCTTCATAGAATTGCAGAGTTGGAAGGGAACGTGCAAAAGATGTTCGGTGAAGTTGCTCTGATTCCCGCCACCAGCTCAAATTCCAGCCCCTGAAAGGGTTGTGCTTCGGGACGGCTGCAGCTCCCGGGAGTTACTGCCCTGGGTTCGAATGCCGTGATTTGCTACATTCGGCTCCGAGAAGCCAATCTGGACTGGAGAGCAAAACCTGCCACTCAAGTTTCCATCGCCAGGCATGGTGAGGGGTCTCTGTCTCCACACAATGTGATTTCAGTGAGCAAGGACTACGCATTTGTTATCTTATTGATTCCATAAAATATATACAGCTTGTTAAAACAAACCAACCAACCAACCAACCAACCTAAAAGCGGTTTACAAAGAGAACGAAGCGATAAAATTACCAGTAAAAACATCTCTTTGAAAGAGAAAGTATGTAATAAACTAAGAACATACTCAAACATGCATTGACGTTCCACATGTCCAGACAGGCTTGTCTAAACAAGAATGGTTTGGGCAGGCACTGAAAATAGGATGGTGCCAATGAGCAGGGAGTTCCAAAGTGTATGGGAGCCGTCACATTAAAATGTTGATTTCTTACCAGTGTGGAACAGGCTCCTGTAGCATTGCCGGTTTCTGCAGATTGATGCAGTCAGAAGGACACCTGTGAGGTTTGTGCCATTATCACGGACAGGCTGTCTGTCTCTCTCTCGAACAGGCAAAATTTCCTGCCTTGAATGCTGTCTCTTTATGCTGTGAACCTCCCTGAGCTCGACAGGTGAAACTTAATAAATTTAATAATGAATCTGCAGAGGTGGGCTCTGCAGATGAAATTTAATAACAGCACCCTGGCAGCAGCTCGCCTGGATTTCAGAAAGAAGTCTCCCTCCCTCTCTCACCTGCGAATCCCCTCACGCTGTGCGTTTTACCTGCCTCACACCTGATGTCATAAATCAGTGTCAGGTGTAGGGTAAGGCGGGTGTGGTCTGGCCAAAACAGCCTCATGGGCCAAGGGGGAAGGTATCGCGGGCCAAATTCGGCCTGAGCCCCCCCCCCCCGCCATTAAAGATTGTTGTTGTTTAGTCATTTAGTCATGTCCGCCTCTTCGTGACCCCATGGACCAGAGCACGCCAGGCACTCCTCTCTTCCACTGCCTCCCGCAGTTTGGTCAAACTCATGCTGGTAGCTTTGAGAACACTGTCCCACCATCTCGTCCTCTGTCGTCCCCTTCTCCTTGTGCCCTCCATCTTTCCCAACATCAGGGTCTTTTCCAAGGAGTCTTCTCTTCTCATGAGGTGGCCAAAGTCTTGGAGCCTCAGCTTCAGGATCTGTCCTTCCAGTGAGCACTCAGGGCTGATTTCCTTCAGAATGGAGAGGTTTGATCTTCTTGCAGTCCATGGGACTCTCAAGAGTCTCCTCCAGCACCAGAATTCAAAAGCATTATTCTTCGGCGATCAGCCTTCTTTATGGTCCAGCTCTCACTTCCATACATCACTACTGGGAAAACCATAGCTTTAACTATACGGACCTTTGTTGGCAAAGTGATGTCTCTGTTTTTTAAGATGCTGTCTAGGTTTGTCATTGCTTTCCTCCCAAGAAGCAGGCGTCTGTTAATTTCATGGCTGCTGTCACCAATCTGCAGTGATCAGGGAGCCCAAGAAAGTAAAATCTCTCACTGCCTCCACTTCTTCCCCTTCTATTTGCCAGGAGGTGATGGGATACTACTCCAAAATTTCAAGTTGGGGCAACTTTATGAGCAACAGTGAACAAAGACATGAAAGAGGAGAAAATAGGGTGGGTAAATTATTTGATATGCAGCAAAACATGGTATATCTAGAATGACTTTTGGGAGTCTTAGGTTGGGAAGTATGTAAATATTGCATGTTGGAAAAGTATGCTGTGTATATTGAATACAGTCATACCTCAGGTTGAAGTAGCTTCGGGGTGAATATTTTCAGGTTGCACTCCGTGGCGACCCAGAAGTAACAGAGCGCATTACTTCCAGGTTTCGCCGCATGCGCAGACGCTCAAAATGACGTCACGCGCATGCGCGGAAGCAGCGAAACGTGACCCACGCACGCGCAGTCGCACCTTCGTTTACTTCAGGATGCGAACGGGGCTCTGGAACGGATCCCATTCGTATCCAGAGCTACCACTATACTGGAAAATACTTTAAAAAATAAAAAAGGAAGAGGGGGAGCAGCAAGGCTTTCTCCGAATGACCCAGAAGCATCAGGAAGGAGGTCTGCGGTCAACAAAAGGGCGGCAGACAAGATTTTTGTCTATCCCAAAGAATGATGTGCTTCTACTAATCTGGCCTGTAGAGCCTCTTCCGCTTCCATTTGTCAGCAGAGGACTGGGGACCGGTTCCCTGAATTTCTCCAGGGGATGAATCACAGCATTGCAGAGTTGGAAGGGCCCCCCAAGGGCCATCAAGCCCAACCCCCTGCTATGCTGGGGAAGATTTGGAGACTGATCTGCAAAGCAGCCTTCTTTCCCCGAGTAGCTGAAGGGGAAACCGGAATCTATTTTCTTTGCAAAAATGTCTTCCGAGGTGTTTTGGCTCAGCTGCACCGAAGCAGCGTCTGTGTGCCTCAAACACTTGCAGAAATCAGCCACCTGGAAAAGCTCCATGTACTCCTCGTTCCCCGTTTACAAGGGCTGTGGATTTCAGTTTTGCACACGGAACAGATATTACCATTGCAGTCGTAGTTACTATTATTGTTGTTGTTGTTTAGTCGTTTAGTCGTGTCCGACTCTTCGTGACCCCCATGGACCAGAGCACGCCAGGCACCTCTGTCCTCCACTACTTCCCGCAGTTTGGTCAGACTCATGCTGGTAACCTCGAAAACACTATCCAACCAGTTACTATTATTAGAATATGAGAAATTGGTAGAAACCATTGGCCAAATATGTACATTATTAGTTATTAAATTTGCACGCCACCCTTCACCTGAAGATCTCAAGGCAGTTCGCAACGTAAAAAATACAAGAGAAATGCACTAAACACGTAATAATTATGTAGAATGCAGTATGCTCAAACCGTCTTCCTCCGGTGAACAACCTGGCTGCTGAATGCTCAGTGAGGTTGCCCGCTGACCAAGAAGGGAAAAAAATCAGGTCCTTCCAGCTTCTGTGCTTTTAGAAACAGTATGATAGGCAGAATCATGCAAGTGTGTAGTGAAATAGAACCAAGTTGCCAGTTAATGGAATTCCCTTTAGGGTCACTCTTAGGCAAGAGAGGCCATCTCAAGAAAGTGGAGGGGCAGTTTTCACAAAACCGCTTTTCCAATGGCTTTCTTTTCTTCTCGCGAAAAGCACTCTATTAAATGCCCCGAACAAATATTCCTGCATAGCGAGGGGGTTGGGCTAGATGACTCCACAGTTCCCCTTCCCAAGCCTTCTACAAAAGCAGCAGCAGCGACGACTGCGCCTGCCCAGGTTTTGTGTTCGGTCCCACCCGCGGTTGTGTTTCACGTTGCTGTGTTGACTTCTTGCAACTTCCATGTTTGCTAGAACCGTTTTGGGTCTCAGAGGCCCCTGCAAATAAGCGTGCATCTGGTGGTTTGAGAGGCAAGCAGAGCAGAGTTACCGCTGCCCCATTCCCTGGGAGGAAGGCTGAACGCATCTGGGGCGAAGGCCTTTGCAAACTCTAGCTAAGCAAACCAGGTGGTCCGTTTTGTAACGTGGTTCCTTTGTACTGTTCTTTAAGGGGGGAGGGTTAGGAAAACACCTTGGCTTCCTCCACTGTATCCGTGACGTTTTCTGTGTTTTTGTCAAATAAATTATTCTAGTTTATTAATCTTAGAAAAATACAAAGTGCTCTCGCAGGCTCCCTGACTTCCTTTGTGTCTCTCTTACTCGAACCGGAGTTATTTTGCCAGAAATGCCCATGACAGACACTGGGGTGCCTTTTTTGTTGTTGTTGGTCAGGTATGACTAAAGCAGCCTTCCCCCCCCCCCGGCCTGGCATCTTCCAGATGTTTCGCCCCCCACCTCAACTTCCTATCGAATATTTTGTTGCATGCAGTGTCAGCGCTGAAAAAATGAGAAAAGTCACCATGGAAAACAGTAATGCGGAGTGAAATAAAAGCTGCAAACCGTTGAACCAAATTACAGGTATTTTTGACTACAATTCCCATCATCCACAGTATGGCAGCGCTGAATGATGGAGTTGGTAGTCCAAAACTTCTGAAAGGAACCTGGCTGGCTAGAAAGTCCACACTTCCCTTTTGATACTAGCATTTTGGGGGGAAACAAAAACTTATTGCAGGTTACATGTACACACATATCACAGGAAACAATAGGAGCACAGTATTATTGCCCCAAACCCCATTCCCTCCATTGAGTTATCCTGTTTCCCCCTTCATGGTTATTCGTTGCTTCCATGGCAGAGCTCCACAAATTCAAACATCCATCTTGACAAACGTCTTCTTCCCTGGTGTGGCATCTTGAGTTGATGGGTGTCTGTTGCAACGCAACGTTTCCTCATCAATTGCCACCCTCCAGAATCCAATTTGTTAAATGCTGTTATTATTGCATTTATATCCCTCCCACCTTTTCCTCCCAGGTGGCGTACATACTGCTCCCCATTTAATCCTCAGAATAACAACCCTGCGAGGTAGGATTAGGCTGAGAGGCAGCGGCTGGCCCAACGTCACCCAGGGAACTTCATAGCTGCGTTGGGATTTGAACCCATGTCTCCCGTGTCCTTGTCCGGCACGCTAACCACTACCCCACACTGGCTGCCCAGCGTGCCAAAAACATCAAGTTTCCACCCTCCCTCCTCACGGAGTCTGGCTTTCCCTGCTCTAAGACGGTACGGAGAGTGGTTTATTCCTGGTTCAATGACAAAATACGGGGGTAAAAACTTTTTGCATGTTTTGCTAATGGTGAACACTCACTTGGGGCTTAGCCCTGGAAGGTGCCACATTCAAAGGGCTTCAGGAAGAAAATTAAAACCTCCCAGCTTAGGAAAACTCATTTATTGTTAGACTTAAGTACAGCATTCCAAGTGCCAGGGCTTCACTGATAAGTTGGTCTTTTGTTTTATTCACTGCTTTGGATTGCATGAACAATAAGGGAAGGAGGTCTTCGAAATAGTGACGAGGGGGTCCACACCCCATTTTACAGGGCTCTGTGTGGTTTGCACAATCCTAACGGGTAAAATTTAAAAAACCTCCTGCACGCACCCCATAAAACTGTTTGAACGTGACGTCCTAAGGGAGCTGGCAGGCAAGGACCCTCTGAGACCCCTTCCCCTCTTCCTCTGCTCCTAAGGGGGAAGAGCAGAACAGCCCATTTGTGTCTGAAGGGTCGCTAACCTCACGTTGATCTTAGCCACCCCTGAAAGCCAGAATGCAAAGACGGCTTCTACTGAGCAACTTTGACTGTACCTACAATCTGTTTAAGGGAGGGGAGAGCAAATGCACTGCAGCAATATTTAAGAGGCAGAAGGGGAGGCAGCCCACAAACTGCTTTCCCCTTTGCTGATGTCAGCAGCTGAGACCTACAGAGCCTAATTCTCTCCCCTGCACAATGTCTGCACCACCAATTTATTTAACTCCTATATTGAGCCACCACCTGACGACAAAAGTCCTCTGGGCGCATAGGAGCCAACTTCTAGGGGCCGAGGGGTCTTTGCACCCCATAAAATATTTGAGGGTACCAGGCCCTTCCAAAGTTACTGGGTATTGCCATTCAAATTGGGGGGGGATGCATGCCACACCTTGCGATCGGTTAAGGGGGAGCAGGGCTTACCTGCTGTCCTCCCCAATATTATATTCAAGTTGGCACACCTGTCTGGGCGGGTCAGAAGTAAAAACCAGAAACATAAAACAGGACACCGAAATGTAACGCAGGATAAAATCAGAAACGACACCGGTACAACAACTGTAAAAAGAAGGACAAACCTGGTACCTTAAAAGGTCATTGTGTAGGCATCAGGTTCTCTTTTGGGCAGGAGGGCAACACTGAAAAGACCCCCAGTTTTGTAAGCAGCCTCATTTGCTTCATTTTGACCACTCTGTCCTGTGTTCCTATGTGACACAATGGGCAGAGGTTTGTAGCCACAGAGCACTGAAGGTATTGGGTTTGGACTTTGCTCAAAAGACAAATCAGTAGGAAGAACTGCCGCGCAGGGTGAGCTCCACAAAGATGCAACCCCCCCCCAAAAAAAAACCCTCCTTTGCAAGATATCCAATTGCTTCCAGGGGGTGTGTGTGCGACTGGACCTCTTCGTTTCTCCAATGTGCAGTGTAGAGAACTGGGCTAGCTGGCCGCGCAGAGCTCAGACCAGTCCCACACGTGCAGCGACCCGTCGCTCGCCGCCGACAGCAACGTCCGGGGCTTGGAGGGGTGCCAGGCGTGGGCTGTGACGACCGGGGCTGCGACTCCAGCTTTGCCCACCTCGCTGAAGACGTGCCCTTTGTGGACGAAGGCCGGTTTGGCGTCCTGCACGGACGGGCCCCAGTTGTGTGTGTCGTAGACCCGCACGGTTCCATCGAAGCCTGCGGGGCGGGGGGGGGAGAGATGAATACTTCCCTGCACAGAGGAGGGAGGAGAGGGAAGGTACCTAACAGGATCAGGGCCCTGGCATCCTGCTCTCTCACAAGCAGGGCCTCTCCATCGCCTGCGGTTGGTAAAGGTAAAAAGGTAAAGGACCCCTGGATGGTTAAGTCCAATCAAAGTTTACTCTGGGCTTGCGGCGCTCATCTCAATTTCAGGCCGAGCGAGCCGGTGTTTGTCCACAGACAGCTTTCCGGGTCATGTGGCCAGCATGACTAAACTGCTTCTGGCACAACGGAACACCATGACGGAAACCAGAGCGCACAGAAACGCTGCAACCACAGGGGCCTGCACCCCTTCTCCTGTTCAGCCTCTGCTGTTGGGGTGCAGTTTCACCTCCAAATACCAGCTGGTAGGCTTTGGTCTAAACCACTGAGTCTCTGGGGCTTGCCGATCGGAAGGTCGGCGGTTTGAAACCCTGCGACGGGGTGAGCTCCCGTTGCTCTGTCCCAGCTCCTGCCAACCTAGCAGTTCGAAAGCACGCCAGTGCAAGTAGATAAATAGGTACCACTGCAGTGGTAAGGTAAACGGTGTTTCTGTGCGCTCTGACACTCGCCACGGTCCTCCATGCGGCAGTAGCAGCTTAGTCCTGCTGGCCACATGACCCAGAAAGCTGTCTGTGGACAAACGCCGGCTCCCTCGGCCTGAAAGCGAGATGAGAGCCGCAGCCCCATAGGCACCTTTGACTGGATTTAACTGTCCAGGGGTCCTTTACCTTTACCTTTAAAGCCTGGGCAGCATGACACTAGCAGCTAAATTTCTCGCCACCCCCCAAATTCCGGCACAAACAGGACCAAAGAATTACCGAGATCTCCGCCCCACAGGCTTACCTGAGACAGCCAGGTGTTCTCCAAGCAGAGGGGCAAAGGAGACCGAGAGGAACTCTGCCCCACAGAGGCCACCCGTGGGCACACAGCACCGAGCCATCTTCACAGGTCTCACGGGGTTTCTGAGGTCCGTCAGCATGACACGGCCGGCAGAGGAGAGGCGGGCCACCAGCCGCCTGTCCCCAGAGGATGGCAGGGGGGCGCAGCAAACTCCAGCACACCAGCTCTGCCCAGGCAGCGCCTCAGAGACCTGGGCATCCTCAGCGACCCGCAGGAGACCCTGCGGCTGCCTGGTGTCAGCCAGAAACAGCTGACCCTTCGTGCCGCAGGCCAGGATGGCGGCTTCGTCCAGGAACTCCAGGGTGGCAACCTTGTCGGTGTTTGTGGAGCCTACAGAAGCGAACAAGACAATAAATTATTATTATTATTATTAAAGAGGGTTTTATCCCGCAAGACCAAAGGCTACCTGCCACGAAGACGGTTCTCCTGGATTCCATCTCGGTCACCTGAACATCGCTGACCCGCAGGCCATGAAGGACCCACGCCGATTTGGAGAAAGCGGTTGCAATCTTTGCCCAGCAGTGCTTCTCTCCTTGCGTGGTACGGACAGTGTAGAGGGGCTTAATAACATCTAGGGGGGAGGAAGGCAAAAGACAGTTATCCCCGAGGTATGGCTGTGTGTGTCTCTACGCTCTCTACCACTCCCACAATCCCTGAGCACTGCCTCTGCTGGCTGGGGCAGGTGGGAATTGGAGTCCATCAATATTGGGGTGGGGTCTCTATACAAGCACCAGCAAACTGGAATCTGGAGCCCAGAAGCCAGTTAAGGCAGAGTGAAGACGGTCGGGTTCGAACTGGAAACTCACCGCTCTTGCGGTGGGTGTTTAAGGAATCCCGATTTAACGGCTGCAGAAAGGGAGATGTAATTGTGGATTGGAGAATCTTATGACCTGGAGAAATCGGATGGAGGAAAGCTCTCCTGTAGGGGTGCAAATATCCAGAGTGTGGGGGTCAGGTGGGATTACTATGAGGGATTGTGAAATATGGAGCAAGCCATTGTGTCCGCGATGAAAGCATTGCGTTGACTGGGTTTGATTCATTGACAATAGTTTCTGATCGAATCCCAGAAGCCTCTCCACCTCTGCCATTTGCTTTCTCTACGCCTGACAGGCACGTATAAGCATTCTAAATACACAGACCAGTTGCCAGTTGCTTCATCAGGCATCCTGGGTCATAAAGATAGAAGGTAGTTTCTTTATTGTTAGTTTTGTTAATCTTAGGGCCAGGAAGAGTTCACAAAGAGATGGTAAATACTGCCTTGCTTCCTCTCCTGTTTACTGCTGTTTATGACCTCCGGAGTTTGCTAAAAGCATTCCTCCTTCCTCCTTGCTTCCTATTTTATTTACTCTGAACTACATATGCGTGCTCAAGTAGGAAATAGTTATCATGCAGCAGAGACCCCTTATGTTAATTATAAAGTGGAAAATATTAGTTTCAGCCTTTAGGGCACGCAGCAAGCCTCACGGTGCAGTGAAAGAAAAATAAACTATGTAGGTTTTCTTTCGAATTAGGGTTTCATTTTTTAGTTTTTGTACTGTAAGCTGCCCTGCAATCTTCAGATGCAAGGCCCTATACGTGTGAATTTAATTAATAAATAATAATAATAATAATAATAATAAATACATTAAGCAGCAACTTGCTGATTGACGCACCTGTTTCATCCTGCCCCACGTGCCACACCTGCAGCGAGCCGTCTGATGGGCCACTTGTCACCAGCAAGCTACAGCCACAAGCAAAAAAGAGTGAGGAATGCTTAGGAAAGGGGCGGGACATAGGTGGATTTCCACTCACACACAAACCCTGGAAAGAGGCATCCTAGACATTATTGTTGACAGAGAACTCCAGTTCAGGATGATCAAGGCTCCCAAGGCTGTCAGCACAGTCCGCTCTGCACTGTGTCGCCGGAAACCCCCCCCCCAACTCACTGACACGTGTTACACAAGCACCACACTCACACACGCATACATTCCCCCTTCCTGACCCTGGAGATGTCCCTTTTAGAGGGACATCCCTTAAAGCCTTCCGTAAATAAGGAAGCGCTGGCTTGACAGCTTCCCGCTATGGCGCTCCGCATCGCCCTATTTTTATTGAGAGTAGACCGGCCGACCGAACTCTGCTGTCAATCGGCGCCCGCCTCAGCCAATCAACATTACCGAACAGCGCCCCTTGCGGCGGCCACGCAGGTACTGCAGGCTACTGCCGTTTCCCCCTTTCCCTTGACAGCTCTCAATACAAGGTTTCCGAGTTCAATTGACCGTGACTGATTTAATCAAAATGTAGCAAGCCGCTTCCTGAAAGCGAAAGCGCTTTGAACTTCAAAGACAATATTCTTCATAAATTCACTAAAAATCAGCCGTACTTCGGATTTTCACCGGACCACTTTTATTCTGCTGGATATTACAAAGACTATCAAAGGGGGGTGGTCCGAAATCAAGCGGCCATAATCCCTTAACCGAGCAGTCACGTACTCTGTGTTCCTTCCTACTAGACGTGACCACCTTGATAGCCATCAGTGATCGGCTCAGACAGGAGGCTATCAAAGACACAATGAACTGCATATCTTGGTGTATTCCGCGCAGGCATACACAAAAGACTGTGATCGGACTCTCCTCAGGGGGCAGGAAACTTTGCCCTCTTCCTTTGTTTTCGTATATGACTCATGCGGGGAGGGGGAAGGGGGCTCCGGCCAGGTGTCAGGACACTCGGGTTACCTGCGCGGCCCCTCCCCAACCCCTCCTATTTTTTAATATAATCGTGATGTAAATGTGATGTAATTCTGAGGGTGTAGCTTAGGGGATTAGCAACTAATAAAAGTTAGGGTCTCCCTTTGTTCGGGGCTTCCATTTTGCTTCACCTTGTGGGCGGTGGGAGTCCTGTCGCGACAGTCTTTCTAAATAAAGACCGAGCCTACTGGCTGCTGTTTTGCTCTGACTTGCTCTGGTCGGTGTCTTCATTTGCCCAAGAGGACCCTTGAATTTCCGTTAACAGTTGGCGACCGCGACTCAGGGACACTTGGTTCTCCTGTAAAGGTGAGAGGGGAGATAGAGGGGATCGGGCGCCACCGGGCTACCTTAGCCTGAGGATCCTTTTCTTCCTCTCCCTGCCTCCTCTTTGCGGGCGGTAATCAACCGTCACCAGAAGCCCAACCAGAGAGAGCAAAGGCGAGGTAAAGCCGGCTAAGGAAAGATCCCGGGATCTACGGGGGACATCAACGGAACGTGAGTATGGTTCCGAAGAAAATACATTGGGAGGGGGGTGGAAAATAACGTCTCCACAACAGCCAGATCTTTCTTCTTGTTTCCAACGTTGCATCTGCAAAATCTCGAACCTCCTTTCCCTTTTTCTCCCCCGTTTTCCCTTTCGGAAGTATGGCCAGGAAAACGTGGTGCTTATTGTTTCTCTGACGTCCTTTCTCGGAGTCGGCCAAAGGCGTCCCCTATAAATCTCTCCTTTTCTCCCCCGTTTTCCCTTTCGGAAGTGTGGCCAGGAAAGCGTGGTGTCTATTATTTCTCTGACGTCCCTTTCGGAGTCGTCCAGGGGTGTCCTTACAAATCTCTCTCCTACCTTATCTGCCTGTGCAAATGAAGCCGCCCCTCCTGCCCGGCGACCTTTGTTAGGGATGACCCGGGTACGTGAGAACGCAAGGTCATTGCTTCCTTTCAAACCTTTGTTTTCTCGGAGCCCGATCTGGCACTGCAACTGTGCAGGCGTTCAGTAGGGAAGCCGAATTTAGTCTAAAGGCTAGGCAGGGGGCTGTTGTGGGAGGGTAGAGGGGAGGTTCACAATTGGGGCCCCACACTAGGAATTAGCTTGAAAACAATACCGTGGTTTAAGGTTTCCGGGCAGCGACCCGTGGTTTAGGTTTTCCGGGCAGAGACCCGTGGTTTAGGTTTCCGGGCAGAGACCCGTGGTTTAGGTTTCCGGGCAGAGACCCGTGGTTTAGGTTTCCGGGCAGAGACCCGTGGTTTAGGTTTTCCGGGCAGCGACCCGTGGTTTAGGTTTTCCGGGCAAAGAACCCGTGGTTTAGGTTTCCCGGGCAGCGACCCGTGGTTTAGGTTTCCGGGCAGAGACCCGTGGTTTAGACTTCCGTTCAGATTCGAGGTTTTAGGCAAATATTTCGCGGTTTAGAAATAAGTAGAGATTCCACTAAGACTAGGACATTCCTAAATACTGAAAAGATTTTTTTTTCCTCCTTTCTCTTCCCAAACCCTCTTCCCTCTTCCCTTGTGTGTGTACGTTCATCCTTTCCGTCTTTAGTTTTCTTCGCTAGCGAAACAGCAACCTGATAGAAATAAAGGATGGGATCCCAATCTTCCAAACACTCAGACTGGACTCCTCCCGGCGACAAGGCTTCCGCGGAGCCTTTCCGCCACAGGGAGGACTCTGATACCCCTCTTCAGTTCGTCCTCTTAAACTGGAAGGAACTGAAAGGGAGGAAGGGGCTTCTCAAAGTCCAAGCTGAAGGACCTTGTAACACTCGTGGGTTGCCTTTACCCACCACCTAGAGCCAGCTTCTAGATGGCCATCTCACGGCTCCTTTAATCTTCAAAAAATGCAAGCACTTAAACTTACCTGGCCGATGAGAGGCCCCGACAACTATACTACCTGAACGCCTTTGCCGAAGCCCAGTCGAATTATTTCAACGGCAGCAAGCCCAAATCGTCCGCCAAATGGCTGTTTTTAAAAACAACTGGACCCCCCCCGATACGAGAGATTAGGGCTCAGGAGAACAATTGGATCAACCCTCGTCCCCTTCTACTACCCGAACCCGAAGCACCCGACAGCCAGGGCCTGTGCGGGGAGTCAGAGCGGGAGCCGGAGGGAGGCACAGGACCGAGGGAGAACGTAGCAAACCAACCAGGCGCAGGACCAGGGAGAATGTAACGAACCCACCAGCCACAAGCCACTGCCCCTCTCCAAAGCACCCCTAACACACTTGCGCCCGATCCTTCCTCAAGCGCATCGAACTCGGCAGAGAACCAGGCTGACTTGGACCTTGGGCCTTACTCAGTGGGCAGCTCCTAACTGAAGGAAGAGAGGGACCGTTTCCAGTAGAACCAGAAACAGGACAAATCTGCAAACGGAGAAATAGAAGGTGCCTTTCCACTGCGTGCATTACCTATACCTCCCGTCAGAGCAGGCGACCCTCCCCGTATGGTCTTTACCCACCAACCTTTCCTACCTCTGACCTAATGAACTGGTCCGATAAAGATGCCCTCTCTACGGGACGACCCAGACAAATGCCACCGCCAAGTGGCTACCATCTTCTCCACTCACAACCCCACGTGGGCGGATGTGCACATGTTAGTTGGGAGCCCTTTTAATGAGGCAGAAAAAAGGGAGATTCTTAGCAAAGGCGGGAGAAGCCCTCGCCGGGAAGGATACCAGCCAAACTGTCCGGCCTCAATGACCCCACGACCACTCAGACGTTACTTAACGACCCTGACTGGAACATAACACTACGATGGCCAATGGGGTCTAAAAATCTCAAGAAGGCCATCCTAGATGGCATCAAAGCTGCAGGACAGCGAACTGTAAACTGGACCAAAGTCCAAGCGGTCCTTCAGGACCTGATGAACATCCTCTGACTACTATTCACGGCTAGTCTCCGCTATTTAAGACCTGGGGTGGAATAGACCCCGGAGAGCCCCACAGCACGAAGTGATAGTCAAAGGGTTTTTCAAAGATCAAGCACCGCCGACATCCGAAAGGGCGTTAAATTCACATCTCGGATACGATGGAAAAAACCATAAACGAAATCCGTTCCATCGCAAAATCCGTTTTTAACTCAAGGGATGAGAGGGAAGAAGAAAGACCAAAAACCCGACCATCCCCGAGTATTAGCTTATGCGGCCGCGGTTCCACCTTCAAAGAAAAGTTTAAATCGGCGGACCGGAATTACAGGATGAACGCGTCTGT